ATCACAAACAAAAAGCAAAATCCCCCGTCCCCAAAAAGGTGAACTTGTAAACCTGGAAGGATTACGTTTTTAATCCTCTACCACTTGGGAGGCTGAAGCAGGAAGATGGTGAGAGGTTAGCCTAGGGTACAAAAAAAAAAAAAATTTAAAAAGATGCTTGAAGCAGGTCAGTGCTGAATTTGAGGAAACATAAACAGTTCTGCTTATGTATATGCATATGCAGTATATGAAGAAATTGTAGGCAAGAAGATGAAAGAAGTTAGAACATCTTGTTGGAGAAAAAATGAGGGAGAGAATTCTGCAGGGTAAGTTTCTGATAGGAATCTTACCACTTTAACACCCTAGCCCTGGCCTCCCTCACACACACACAAAAATGTTCCTTTTTTGGTATGCGTGGGTATGTGTCTGTGCATGCAGGTTTGTATGTGTAGCTGGTGTTGCCACCAGGACCACTGTCTGTGTCTCTCCAGGCAGTTTGGCATTTACAAGTGTGTACCACTATGGATAACTTTGGTTTACATGGGTTCTAGGGATCAAACTTGTACTTGAAGAAAAGCACTTTAGCAATGAAGTTATTGCTCCAGCTGTTTGTTTTATACTGGTCTTGAAACTCCTAAGACACAAGCAATCCTCTAACTTTAGCTTCCCAAATAGCTGGGACTACAGGCATGTGCCATTCATTGTTCTACTCCTGTTCTTTTGGGTTTAAATGATAATTAATTTACTAGTGACTGCTTGGGTAGAAATGGGAAGGCAAGTCTAAAATAGATTAATTTTGTAGTATTATTGAGGATATAGAGGAAAGTAATATTTTAAAATAAAATTTACATCATGGTTTTGGTTTAGCTGAATAACTTAACAAGTCAAAAGCATCAGAAAGTGACATACAGCTCAGTCAATTGATTAAATGTTATATTTTATTTCTTAACATTGATCAGAAAAAACTTTTTTTGTAGAAAACACTATTGACCCATATTTTTTAATTTAGTTGTGAACCATGTACAACTGATGTTTGACCTATTTGACTCATCGTGAAAAGAATTTAACCAGCTGCCCTTGCTGAATCTTTTGTCCTGTCTCAAGAATATGGTAAATTGTTTGTTTTTATTTTCTTGAGACCTCATTTCTGTAGGCCTCAATTTTATATTTTAAACTATTCAACACTTGGCTTCTGAGTAGGGAGGGTGGATAGTTATGGAGGATGCATAGTGTATCAAGTTCTGTACTGTAGACTGTCATGCTGTTTATATATTATGCCCTTTGCTGTTAGTGCCTAAAGATGTTTTAAATAAAGGGTTAAACTTATTTATTTTTAGAAGTATGAATTGTTATAACCCTCGGCAAGCGCTTTACAAATAAACACTCATTTCCCAGATATAGTGGCTCATACCTGTAATTCTGCCTAGTGGGAGGCTGGGCAGGAGAATTTCTGTGTTTGAGGTCAATCTGGGCTACAGAGTGAAACTGTCTCAAACTCCAAACCCTCCAAACCAAAAACATTTGTTGACTACTGTTCTAGGTCACAGACTAGCCACAGTTACATACACAGTTAATTCCCCTTCCCCACAGTTTCTCTGGGTAGCTCTAGTTTGCTCTGACGACCAAGTTGTCCTTGAACTCATAGAGGTCCTCTTGCCTCTTTAAAGGCACAGGCCGCCGCCACCCCCCAGCTCAAATTCTTATTCTTGAGGCGGGCCAGAAATCTATGTTTAAAGGTTTTTTTGTTGGTGGTGGTTTTTTTTTTTTTTTTTGAGACTTGAGTTTGTGTGGCCTTGGAACTCCTTATGTAAACTAGACTGGCCTGGAACAGAGATCCAACTCTCCCTGTGTCCTGAGTGTTGAGATTAAAAGCATGCGATACCATGCCTGGCTCTTACAGGTTTTGTTTTTGCTTTTTCAAAAATGATTTTATTTATTATGTATACAGTGTTCTGTATGTATGCCTACGTGCCAGAAGAGGTCACTAGATCTCACTATAGATGGTTGTGAGCCTCCATGTGGTTGCTGGAATTGAACTCATGACCCTTTGAAGAGCAGCCATTGCTCTTAACCTCTTGAGTCATCTGTCCAGCCTCTAAAAGGAAAATTTTTTGTTTTTCAAGACAGGGTTTCTCTGTAGCTTTGGAACCTGTCCTGGAACTAGCTCTTGTAGACTAGGCTGCCCTCAAACTTACAGGCCGTCTCCCTCTGCTCTTACAGTTTTGATGTAACTAAAAATTCAAGAAATCCTATTGTAGGTAAATATTTCCCACCCTTACTGTTTATGTTTTTGTTTTGTATTAATAATTTTTCTTTTTTTTTCTGTTCGTTTGTTTTTAAGACAGTTTTTCCCTATGTAGATCTGGCTGTCCTGAAACTAGGCTGGCCTTCAACTCAGAACACTGCACTGCTTGTATTATATTTCATCTCTTCATTTTTGAGGGTTTTTTTGTTTTGTTTTTGTTTTTTTCGAGGCAGGGTTTCTCTGTGTAGCTTTGGAGCCTGTCTTGGAACTCATTCTATAGATCAGACTGGCCTCAAATGCACAGAGATCTGCCTGCCTCTTCCTTCTGAGTGCTGGGATTAAAGGTGTGTGCCATGGCTGGCTGGCTGGCTGGATTTATTTGTTTATTTATTTTTTTTATTTTTTAAAGCAAGGTTTTGGTGTGCTTACCACGTTGGCCTTTATCATCCTCTGTAGTTCCAGGCAGATTTTTAAATTGTGGTACTGATTCTTCAAGCAGTTGACATTACAGGCCTGTGCCTCAAACCCCTGCTTAAGTTAATTATAGAAAGATATTTGTATTGCCATAAAAATAAATACAAATAAAAAGGCATGTTATAATGATACAGTTGAACTCTTTTTTTTTTTTTTTTTGAGACAGTTTCACTATATAGCTCTCACTAGCCTGGAACTCAATACAACAGGCTGGCCTCAACACAGAGATCTGCCAGTTTCTGCCTCCCAAGTGCTGGGATTGAGGGAATACATTACCATGCTTAGCTTGTTAGAATTCCATATATTAAAGGTTAGAATTTGTCAGGTATATTAAATAGAATAATATTGCCAATAGAAACTTCTTTGCTGAGTTAATGTTTCTTTCTGTTTGGTAAGTATCTTGATGAAATTGAAAAACACCCCAAACCTTGTGCCAACTCCATATTTTGGAAAATACTGTTCTAGGTATTCATATAAGATGTAAAGTTTAATAAGAAGCCTGAGCTAATAGGCCAATCATTTTATAACTTAAAAAAAAGATGTAAAGTTATTTGCCAGTATATATCCAGCATATATCCTGGCCCATGAGTAGGAATGACTAACCAGAAGTGACAAACTTTTGAAATGGAACATTCTCAGTTATCTCTAGGGAGGTCATCTAGACCTGCAGAATGAAATCACTTTATTTAACTTGGCTTCTCAGTTTTTTCTTCAGTGTTTTGGTTCATGAGAGTCACCAGTTCTTAAGATGTTACTAACAGTGGCAATGTGAAATAGGAACACAACAATAGACACCCTGGGGAGAGCATGATTCTGGTTTATGGAAGGGGACAGAGAGGGACATTCTTCCTAGGAAAGAGATGATTTATCTAAGGCACTAGAAACTTAATAGTATGTGTCACAATTTAATTTGTAGTATTAGAGGAAATATTTATGGCTGGTGGTTTTTTGATACTTGTGTTGTTCTTTGCTTTAAATTTATTTGTGTATGTATGCCTGTTTGTATGTGCATCGTGTTAGCGGTGCCAGAGGAGAGCAGAAAAAGTCATTTGATCCCTTGGAACTGGAGTTACCGGCAGTTGTGACTTGCCTGGTGTGGGTGTGGGAAAACAAGGCTAGGTTTTCTCTTCAGGAGCATTCAAGTTTCTTTAACTTTTGGACCATCTTTCCAGCCCCACAGTAGTGTTTTAATTGATTGTTGGTTGACAAACTTTAGGATATAATTCATTGATAACAGTAGAATCTCAACTACTTTGCTTGGTGTCCCCCAGTTTGCTTTAGTTTTTGTGTTTTTGTTTTGAGATAGGGTCTCTGTGTTTTGGCTGCCCTGGAAATCCCCGTATAGATCAAGCTAACCTCAAATTCACAAAGACCTGCCTGCTTCTCTCTTCAAGTTAATTCTTTTTCCTAGAAATTTGAGGTGTATTTGATTCATTCATTTGTTTGTTTGTTTCTCTGTCTCTCTCTGTCTCTCCCCCAAGCTATTCTTGAATTTAGGTGGTGATCCTGCCTCTGCCTCCTGAGTGCTTGGATCATAGGCATGAGCCTACCAGTAATCCCAGAAAGACCAAAAAATCTAATATGTAAATATTTACAAACATGTATGTTTAACGCTCTTTAGTTTGTTTTTTCGAGACAGGGTTTCTCTGTGGTTTTGGAGCCTGCCTGGAACTAGCTGTTGTAGAGCAAGCTGGTCTCGAACTCATAGAGATCTGCCTGCCACCACCACCCGGCATGAAAACAAGCACTTACATTAATAAACAAGTAAAACTTTGCTTATTTTGGTCATATTATAAAAAGAATGGCAGAGTCCCCAGAGACAACCCTTGTGAATGTGATGTACACAATTTTTCTGCTGTCCTGTTTTTTAGCTCCAGGGCTCACCTCTTTCCTGATGGCAGTGTTTTTCAATTTATGTCATCCTTAGGTTGCCACTTGTTTTTCAGTACTCTTTTTTTCTTCTTCTTTCCTTTGTTGATTTTTGATTTGGGGATGTTTATAGTTATTTTGAATAATTGGGAGCTTGATTGTTTTTTTGAGGCAAGGTCTCAAAAGTAGCCCTGATATCCTGAAACAGCCTCAGGAGTGCTGGGATTAGAAGTGAGCCCCAGCATACCCAGCTCTTTGGGAGTCTTTTTAATGGATAAATCATCTTTTGGTTCTTTTCAGCTATTTCTTTAATAGCCTTTAATCCGGATATGCTATACACCCATAATTCCAGAAGCTGGGAAGCTAAGTCAGAAGAATCATAAAGTCTAGCTAACCTGGTCTATACTGAGCCTGCCTCTGTGCTCTGAATGCTGGAATTAGAGGCATGCGCCACTACCTCCTGGCCAGCTTCAGTTTTTTTTTTTTTTGTGTGTGTGTGTGTGTATGTGTTTTAAGATTTATTCATTTATTAAGCATACGATGTACTGCTGGCAAGGAAAGCATCAGGTCTCATTACAGATGGTTATGAGCCACCATGTGGTTGCTGGGAATTGAACTTGGGACCTCTGGAAGAGCAGCCAGTGCTCTTAACCGCTGAGACATCTCTCCAGCCCCCAGCTTCAGTTTTTAAAATAATTTTGTTACATGGGTTTTCATACATAAGTGAGATTTTTAAAGTTTGTAAAATATCAGACGTCTTTGATCATATATAGCAGCATTGAAATTACTAGCTACGCATGGTACATGCTTATAATTCCAGAATTTGGAGAACTGGGGAGGGAAAGTGTGTGAGTTTGAGATCAGCCATGGCTGCATAGTTAAACTCTGTTTCTAACTCCTATTCTTCCCCACTAACTCCCACAAATATTTACTTTGGTAGTTTTTTCCTTCCTTCAGATACAATTATTTGAAAGTTTTTAAGCTTGTCAGGAAGATTATGGTTAAAATTATACTAGTAGCTATTAATGATTATTAAAGTGTAAGACTAGCTGGACGGTGGTGGTGGTGCACGCCTTTAATCCCAGCACTCTGGAGGCAGAGGCAGGCGGATCTCTGTGAGTTCGAGGCCAGCCTGGTCTACAAGAGCTAGTGCCAGGACAGGCTCCGAAAGCTACAGAGAAACCCTGTCTTGCAAAACCAAAAAAAAAAAAAGGTAAATAAAGTGTAGGACTATATTAATCAAAGCCTTTTCTAAACTGTAAATAGCCTTATGTTTACATTTTCTGAAGAGAGAACGCTGCTACTACTAAGTGTGACCTATACATTCAGAAACAAATATCTTGACATTCAGTTGGAAGACTTGTAACTTTGCTTTTGTATAAAATATATGATGTTATTATTTAGATGTCTTGAGTCCTTTTATAAAGCATAATGTAAATTGCTTAAATATACAGTAGTTCAGACTGAATACATTTACTAAGGTAGCATGAAGGGAAAAAGTATTTTATAAAGTAGCTTAAGAAAAACTGGGCATGGTGATGCACATTTAATCCCTTGGCAGATGAAAGCAAGAAGAGCAGAAATTCAAAGTCATCCAGCTAGATAATGAGTTTTGGGCACCTGGGCTACAGGAGACTCTGTTCTCCCCCAGTCCCCCAAAAAACCCCAAACAAGAAGTAATTAGGGGCTGGAAAGATGACTGGTTAAGAGCACTTGCTGCTCTTGTGCTCTTGTATCAGTTTCCAGTACTCACATAACATCTCACAACTAGCTGTGCTCCAGTTCCAGGGGATTTTGTGCCCTCTTCTCACCTCTAAGAGCACCAGGCACGAGTATGATACAAATACATACATGTATACTCATACACATACATACACATAAAAGTAAGAGCACAAGTAATTATAAGGTATAATCCCAGCACTTGAAGCTGAGGCAGAAGGATCATGAGCTATAGTTTGAGGCACTAACCTATCTCAAAAGCAAAAACCAGTTCTAGAAAGGTTTATATAAGTGAATGTTAAAGGACTTAAAGATAAATGAGATTTGTAAAGTGCAGGGAGGACTGTATTATAAGAGTGATCAGGTTGGCTGACTTTTCAGTATAGTAGATAGTGGTTAGCTTTGCTCATGGGAAGATGCAAGGTTTTATTTAATTGTGCACTTCTTAAATTATCTCCTTGCCCTGGAGTTTAGAAACTGGATATAGGTTTTTATGTAATTCCTACACTGTTAATGTGAGTGCAGCTTATATTGGAAGAAAGAGTATTAATAGCTTCTCTTTATATTTGGGGGATTCAAAAGAGGGTAGGCAAACAAGAAGTTAATCCTTTTCAACTCTATACTTCTTTCTAGCTTTAGTTTTCCTATCACTGAGGGAGGGTAGGTCTTATTTCAGATGTAACGAGCCTATTGTGTACCAAGCTAATTGAGTGATAAAAGGTCCTACAGATGGTGGTGGTGAACACTTTGCTTGTTATACTAGAAAATGTGGGAGAACATTCCTGTCTCTGCCTTTACTATTAAATATGGGATACTTTCATTGCTTTGTATGCTGATGCATTTCCTGCTCTACTCTGTTTTTCCTAAGCTGAGCTCTGAGCTAAATCTGTACAAAGAAATATTGATTGCTTTTATAATGCTTGCCATTAATGCCTGATGATATACAGTAAGATAGGATTCTGCATACCATTAAATATGTCAAGTATTACAAACTTTAAGGTTCTTTTGAAATTACCATACTAAACTCAGTTCACTTTTGCTAACTTCACAGTTGTTGATCACATAGCATGGTCATCCACTCACAGCTTAAAAAAATACAGGGAGCATCGGAGAGAATGGGTAAAGTAAAATTTTGATGTTTTTAAAATAGCACCTAAATAAATGAAAGTTGATTTGGTTTATTGTTTGTAAGGGAGGGAGAGGGTGGGAGAAATTGAGGGGGAGGGGTGGGTTTTGGGAAAATAGCATGCACTGTGTATAATGTCAGATACTACTTAGGCCAAGGTTTTATGTGCTACTAATAAAATTTATATCAGGTCATAGGATCATAATTCAATATTGGGTATTGCAGTGGGGCTCATTTTCCTTCACAACCGATTGAAGGGAATTTTGAGAGCAATATTGGATACATTTGAATGGGAACCCTGGTTTTAGAGGAGGCCTTTCTTTCTATTTCCCCCTGTGAAACTGATGCTTCAGTATCACCTTATGTTCATTTCTAACTAGAGAATTAAGTAGCATGCATTTCAGTTTTATTGTATACTTGTAACCCAGCTGTTTTCAAGTTTTACAATTTATGACGCCCAAGAAGGGATTGTACAAAAGAAGGCAATGGAGTTGTAATTCTGAAGATAGTTGTTTGGTGGACATTATTAGTAGAACTTTTGGTGTTTCTATTCAATGAAAAATTTGTGACCACCCAAAATTTTAAATCAGAGTCTTCACTGGATGTGGTGTTACATGACTATATATAATTCCAGAATTTTGGAGGTAGAGGCAGGAACATCAGAATTGTGATAATTTTTTATCTGTATAATTAGTTTAGTTGAGCTACCTGAGACTGTGCCTTAAGCATAAAAAGCCTATTTCCTCATTCTAAAATCTTGCATTGTGGTTATATGTAAAACTTAATTTTTGTGGAGGCCATGGGTCAGAGAGACATGTTTTTATAGGTAAAATAATTTGTTCTTGTTGTTGACTATACTTGGTCTAATCACTGCCTCATAAATTTTTTTTTTTTTTCTTCCAAGGTAGGGTTTGGGGTCTCTGTATAACCATGGCCTTACTGGAACTTTCTCTGTATACCAGACTGATGTTGCTGAGATTTGCCTGCCTCTGCCTCTTGAGTGTTGGGATAAAAGGAATGTGCCACCACTACCCAGCTCAAAAATTTTTTGAAAAGTTCATTTATATACAATAAATACATATTGAAGAAAGATCTTAAGAACCAAATTTCACCTTCCAAAAATTGTTCCCTTGGCTCCAATTTGTATTCCCAGACATACTCTGCCATTTGCCAAAGCTGACTATGGTTTACTTACTGTTTCCCAAACCTTCAAGCCCTTGTAAACTTTGTCAAAGATACTATTCTGATCTGGACTGTTCCTCTTTCCTCTTAAGTCTTGCCTGAAGCGTTTAGATTTTGGCTTCTACTTACTCCCTGAAGCCTTTCCCAATTTCTCCAACCTTTACATGGTAGTTCTAATATGTTTAAAATAATCCCTTTGACACTTGAATCATGTTATTTTGTGTTACTGTTACTTATTTCCTATTTCTCTAGTGAAAATGTGGGCTCTGTAACTCCATTTTGTAGCATAGAGGATAGAGTAACTAATAGGTTTGATTCAATGATTAGGATCTAGCTAGTATCATTGTGACAGGATAGTTTCCCCCATAATTTATTATTAGTTTTTAAACACGTGAAAATTGATTGAGAGAATTAACTCATATTTGTTTGTATGATTCAATGACCAGGAAACACAAACATAAAGCATGTTAAATTGATAAAATCCTGTATTGTAAGGATCTATTGTCATAGTCTCTTTTTTTCCCTTTATTTTTTCTCTAAGTGGTTTGTATTTTACCTAGTTGCTTTTGAAAAACATGGTTTGGGCCAGATGTTGTGACAAAGATAAAAATAGAAGCATTTCTGTTTTAAAATTGTGTAGTTAAATTATACTATGTCATAAGCCCAAATTTATTCAAATGCTGCATGACTTTGTATTTTTGTAGCCAAATTGTTTGAAAATATTAGCCATAAAGTCCTAAGTAGAACTTTTAAAATATCAATAGAAAGATCCTCATTTACATGTCCTTCTCAGAGTATTGTTTTATTTTGAACTATTAGTTTTATTATTTTAGTAAAAAGATTTTTATAATGGCTAATATTTGAAAGCTATATTTCATATTTTTTCTACAGTTACCAAGTGTTAATGGAATACCTGCTTATTTGTAGTGGAATATTTTAGATGCTTTTTTGGCATTTATAGAAATTGATTTCTTTATTATTTTAAAGCTCACTGGGGCTACTGTTACTATGTTTATATATTTGTAATTGTTCATGTTTTTCTGATAGTGTTCTTCAGGGCATGTATCCCTTGTTAATACACCTAATGTGATTTCTTAAGCAAAAATGGGCACCCTATTAGATGAGATGTTTGATTAATAAAACATCTGTAAATTTTAACTTAGTCTAAGACCTCATTTTTACCCCTTCTACCCATGAGTCTTGTTTTACAATAGACTGAACTGACATTGCTGTTTCATTACCAGAAAGCTTAGACAGGTGTAGCAGGGTGATTCCTAGTAAGTTCCCCCCCTTAGAAATTTATTACTTTAAAAATTCTTAACATAATCACAGTAGAGTTTTAAGCAAAGCCTTTCTAGGATCAAAAAGCTTCTATTATAGTTTTAGTTTTCTCATGTGAGCTTGTGGTAGTTTGGTTCTTGAATGAGATTGAGGCACTCAACTTGTCTTCCTTGAAACATACTTTGAAAGAAACATTTCTCATGTAACCCAAGGTCCACTTGTAGAGTTCCAGTCTTGGGCTTTAGCTATCTTCAGTAATGTTTTTTTTTTTTTTTTCTGGGCTTATACTTGTTTAAGTCAGTATTGTTAAAAACAAAACAGAAAATAAACACTCTGATTTTGTTCACTTTTGTTTTCATATACAAGAATCTTTACAGTCAACATGTACTTCTAGGTGCTGTATTGAAATTGCTGGCAGAGTCTATTCTATACAAACTGAACAATCTGGCCCCTTGTTTTATTTGTAAAGGTTCAATGTATCTATGCCTGCCTACTTCAATCTGCAAGGGAGTTTCAGAAAGGCCCCGCATTCGCCGAGCCGTGAGTTATCACTAACTTTTCAGATGTGTTAATGAATGTGGAACAGAAGCAGCTGTGTTTAAAAGAAAATAAAAGTCCATCAAAGTAACATATTATAGTAGCAGGCTTGAACACTAAATAGATTATTCCAAATTGTGTCACAAATAACATACTAGAGATTAGCCTCAGAAAACCTATTGTTGAAATGCTCTGAAGCTATGATTTTAGCAAATTATCTTTCTTAAAAATGTATGTGTCCTAGTTGCAAATCAGAATGTTCTTTACATCTTCTTAACCAAGCTAAAACAATCTGAACAAAATCTTACCCCATAGTGTTTAGTTGACTTTAAGTTAAGCTCTTCAATATAAGACCACTTAAAGGGGGTAAAGTTTGAACATTTTTTTTTTGTTTGGTATTCACATATGAAAATACAGAACTTAATTTAAGAATTGCTTCCTAGTTGAAATGTTTGGAGTACTTTAGGTATCATGTGAACTACAGAGGTATTTACAATCTCTCTTGGTTTGTTTAAACAGTTTTCGCTTCAGTAATTCACCAGTAGGTTTTCATTTATCAGTGATACCAATTTAAGGCTAAACCACATTCTTTAGGGCTTATCATTCTGCATAAAGGAAACGACCCTGTGAGTTTTTCTTTTATTTCTTCAGAGATTCTAAGCAAAAAAAAAAAAAAGTTGTAACTAACATTTGTATTTTGTACTCTAGCTAGTTACCTTTCCTTTTCTTAGACTCTTTAAGCTTTTGAGTAAATAGCTATATTTGATAAGCAGGTTGGTTGCTTCTGTTTAGGAGTTGTGTTCTTTTATGTGAGCACAGAATATATTTATTTTGCCTGGTTTGGCAATGTAGCACAGACCACATAAAACATGGAATATGGAATCTTTGGAGGTATTAAAGTTAACATTTCATTTAGGCAATATGCCCTTGTTTGACTGGTGTGTAAGTCCTTCTTCCAGGTTTGTACACTCTTTAAACACCTTATTCTACCCTCTAACTCCTCCCAGCAGCAAAAGGGAGACACTTCAACTGGAACAAAATAGTGGAAGAAATGGCGTCTGGGGTTCAGTGGGGATTCGCAGTGTGTATGCAATGTTTGCAAGATTATTTTTTTTATGTTTTTCAATTAATGTAAATTATTACAAAATAAATTAGTGTTTACTGTCAAGAGACCATTGTATACCAGTAGAAACTCTTGGTGGGTCTGCTGCAAGTTGCTTAACCTGTTGGGGCCTCATTTTTTTTCATCTGCAATATGAAGGAGTTGGACTTGATAACCTATAAATAAATAAAGTCCATTCCTGCTCTAAAATCCTATGCTTTTCTGAAGTACTTTTATTTAACAGAATGCTTTGCTTTCCCACTTTGACTATTTGAATTACATTTGCAGTACATATACTGCAATTGCATGTTGTCTAAAATAGTTTTTCTATAGGATGGCATATAAAAAACTAATCCCTCCTGGGTTGATTTATAAGTGTCTGTAAGTAGATAGTCAGACACCAAAAGCTAGTAATAACTAGGACTTTCAGAATATAAACACTGTTTGTCTAACCTTGAGTATTATTAACTTTTCTATATTACAGGAGATACTACTCGACAACGAATCAAATTCAGCGATGACAGAGTATGCAAGAGCCACCTTCTCAACTGTTGTCCCCATGATGTCCTTTCTGGAACTGTACGTGGTTAAGTTGTTTTATTACTTACTAGTGTGCTACAAAAATGAAGTTCTTGGTAAACAATTTTTTTACCAATTACTTACTTTTTTAAACAGTGTTAGAAAAGATTTGCATCCCTTTCATTGCTTGTTTATTCCCACTGATAATTTAAATTTTCAATAATGGGTTTCCTTACAGAAGTAGTTTGTCTTTTCCATTTTTCCCCCACCGTTCTTCTACTGGTTTTGTTATTCTTGTTTTCTCTTTTCTTCTGGTCTTAGAGATGAATATGGAACCTTGCACATGCTAAGCATATACTGAGCCACTGAGGCACATCCCAGGTTCTCTGCTATTTTGTTGTGGTGATGGTGGTGGTTGGTTGTTTTTTGTTTGTATTTTGGTTTTTCGAAACAGGGTTTCTCCATATAGTCCTGGCTGTCTCCAAACTCTTTCTATATACCAGACTGGCCTCAAACTCAGAAATCCACCTCTCTCTGCCTCCTGAGTGCTGGTATTAAAGTACCACTACTGCTAGACTGATTTTTTTTTTTTTTTTGAGGCCCTTCTGTTGTTTCAAACTGGTAACCTTGAACTTGAACTTTTGACCTTCACACCCAAGTTTTTGGATCATAGATGTGTAACAGAAAACTACACCAATAGTTTTTTTGTTTGTTTGTATTTTTTTCTTCCCCTTTTATTTATTTACTTATTTTTATCTAAAACGGGTATATTGGATTGGTTCCCCTATGGAGTTGGGATTTAGGATACTTTTAGTGCCACTTCCTCCTGAATTAGCATCCTTCTATAAGCCTTGCTTTTCTTTCTGCCTCTAGGCTGACATAGAGGACACTGTGATAGCCAACACACAAGGCTATTTATTGTTTGTGCATGGCTGAAGACCTGTGTGATCTTACGGCATTCTGGGTATTTCACACCCGTTAAGTGGGAATTGGGATTCTGAACCAGGTGCTTTTTCTTATTTCCTCTTCTCTTCTGAAGAGAGGTGAAGAAATCTTACAAGAGGCATATTCACATAGGGAGGTGGTAACTGTCTCTTGGAAAGCATGCCCCCTCTTCTTTAAATGGTACAGAGGATCTTTAACTTCTGAATTTGATTGAAATTACAATGAGTAATTTCCCTTCACAGATATATTTGTTGATGGGGAACTGTAAGGGGTTAAATCTTGACTTCATTTTATTTCTCATTTACCAGAAATATCTAGAATAAAGAAAGGATTTCCAGATTACTCTTTCATAAGCAGTGAGTAAGTACTCTTAGGCACGGATACCCAAATGAATGTGTTTTTTTTTTTTTAAGTGAGATTAAGGATATCCCCCAAACATAAAAATATCAAGACATGTGCAATAGGAAGCATCTTTGTCATTTCTTAGTGGGAAATGCCGTTGAAACTATTATGTGCCTAAGTCTGGTATGGTGATCTAAATGTGGAATTCAGCATATTGCCAGCCTAAAGACTGAATCTGAAGTTTGACGCCAACAAAGCTACTGAGTGAGACGTTGTCTCAAATACAAGAGTCTGAAAAAAGTTTTTATAATAGACATAGTAAGAAATTTAGTTTGTGGGCAAGTTCAATACTTGAATTAGGACTGTGACAAATATTAACAGGTAATAAAATGATTCTGTACAGAAACATCTGTAAGTACTTCCACTTTAAATTTTATTTTGTTTATAATCCTAACTTCAGGGATCTAAGACATGCACTACTGCATAGCTTTTTAAATATTTTCTGTTTTATTAATCCATTTGTAATCTATGACAGATCTCTCACTTGTAGAACACTGTTATTGTCCACATTTAAATCATTTATATTATGTGTAGGAGTGCTTTGCCTGCATTATATTTGTTCACTATGTGTGTGCCTGGTCCATGGGAGGCCAGAAGAAGGTATTGTATACTCTGGGACTGGAGTTCTAGGTAGCTCGGTGAACGACCTTTTATGTTTGGGTACTTAAACCCTGGTCCTCTGGAAGAGCAACCAGTGCTCTTAATTGCTAAGCCATCTCTTCAGCCCCACAGTTAGTGTTGTAGGAAATTCGATGATTAATTTGTTTCTATTTTATTAGGAGTGCATGTGTATGTTTTGGGTTGTGTTTGCACACGTGTTCACTCAAATATGGAAGACAAAAGAGAACATTGGGTGTACTTCTCAGAAACACCCCTCACCTGCTTTGTGATAGGATCCTGACCTGGAGTTTACTAATAAGGCTAAATTTGCTGGCCAGTGAGTTCCAGGAATCCCTGTGCTTTGATGTCCTCAGCACTGAGATTACCCTGTCTGCCATTTTATTTGGGTGTTAGGCGTGCTGTCTAGTTTTATGTGAGTTTCACACAGCTGACGTCATTGGGAGAGAAGAAAGCCACAATTGAGGAAAAGAGTCAAGTGAATTCTGTCCCTCCAAGTTGTTTTTGGTCATGATGTTTCATCACAGCGATAGCAACCCTAAGATACTGGGCTCATCCTCAGATCTTTGTGCTTGTAAAAGAAGCACTTTACCAAATTTATCTCCCTAACTACAAAAAGACTATTTAGTGGATAAATTATCACTTCTGATAAGCGTAGAAAATAAAAGCAACAAAATTATTTCTTTCCTTTTTTTTTTTTATAAAAAAAAAATAGGACAGGATATTATGTAACATTGCCTGTCTTTGAATTGGTTCTGTAGTCATGGGTGACCTTGAACCTCAGATCATCCTGCCTTCACCCACCAAGTGCCCGGGTTACAGATTGTATCCTAACACATCTCTCTTTAAATTTCTATGTATATTGGGGACACACACACACATATATATTTAAATTGTTTTTTCAGGACAGTGTAGTTTTTAGAGTTTTTCCTGGAACTTGCTCTGTAGACCAGGCTGGCCTCAAACTCAGAGATCTGCCTCCTGATCTACCTCCTGAGTGCTGGGATTAAAGGGGTGCACCATCACCGCCTGGTCATTGCATGCATTTTATGTGTGAATGCTTTGTCTGCATGTATGTATGTTTGTGCACCACCTGAGAGTCTGGTTCCAGTATTGGATCCCCTAGAACTGGAGTTCCAGGTAGTTGTAGGCCACCATGTGGGTGCTGGAAACCAAACATTGCCTCTGCAAGAGTAAGTGCTCTTAACCACTGAACCATCTCTTCAGCCACAGACACACCCTTTTAAACATTCTTGAATGTTCAAAATCCATTGTGTATGCTTGCATGGTGTATGTGTTCATGTCACTGCATATGTATAGAGATCAGAGAACAGCTTGGAGGAGTCCGTTTTTTCTTCTACTATATGGATTACAGATAGTTAGGAGCTGACTTCCATATGGGTGCTAGGAATCTAACTTGGGTACTCTGGAAGAGCATCTAGTGCTCTTACTTAGCTGTCTCTCCAAGCCCTTTCAGTATTTCTCCCCTCCAAGACAGGGTTTCTCTGTATAGTTTTGGCTGTCCTCAGGCTAGGCTTGAACTCAGATCCATCTGTCTCTACCTTTCAATTGCTGAGACTAAAGGCCAGCACTTCCTTGCCTCATTGTGTCTTTTTGAGACAGGGCTTTGCTTATTTGTTTGTTTGCTTGTTTATGGGGAGTTGGTTTTTTGAGACACCGGCGAGACAGGGCTTTTCTATGTAGCCCTGGCTGTCTTTGAACTCATAGAGATCCATCTGTCTCTGCCTTCGGAATGCTGAGAAAGGAGTGTGCCAACACTGGCTAGCCAATTTTTTTTTTTAAGATTTATTTATTTATTATGTGTACAACATTCTGCCTCCATGTATGCCTGCACGCCAGAAGAGGGTGCCAGATATCATTAAAGATGGTTGTGAGCCCACCATGTGGTTGCTGGGAATTGAACTCAGGACCTCTGGAAGAGCAGCCAGTGCTCTTAACCACCAAGCCATATCTCCAACCCCCTGTGTTTTTTTTTTTATTTATTTTTAATTTTATTTTTTAATTTTTGATTTTTCAAGACAGGGTTTCTCTGTAGCTTTGGAGCCTGTCCTGGAACTAGCTGTTGTAGACCAGGCTGGCCTCGAACTCACAGAGATCCGCCTGCCTCTGCCTCCTGAGTGCTGGGATTAAAGGCGTGCACCACCACCACCGGTTTTTTTTTTTTTTTTCTTGTAGCTTTGGTGCCTGTCCTGGAACTAGATCTTGTAGACCACTGCCACCACCACTCTGGCTCATTAATTTTAAGATTTAATTATTATGTATACAGTGTTCTGCCTGCATGTATACCTCCATGGCTGAAGAGGGCACCAGAACTCATTATAGATGGTTGTGAGCCATCATGTGGTTGCTGGAAATTGAATTCAGGACCTCGGGGAAGAGCAACCAGTACTTTTAGCCTCTAAGCCATCTCTCTAGCCCCCAATAATTTTTTTCTTTTCTCTCTCTCTCTCTCTCTCTCTCTCTCTCTCTCTCTCTCTCTCTCTCTCTCTCTCTCTCTCTTTTTTAAATTCTATAGATTTTTGGGAGACAAGATCTTGTATATGCACCCTGAGCTGGTCTCAGTCTCCCTTTGTATTGAAGGATGGCTTGTACTTCTGATCCTTGATCCTTTTTTGGTCTATCTTCCTAACAGGCACCTGGCTTTAGGTGGTGCTGTAGATAACTGAGTGGTGTTGACAACTGGTTATTGTCTTAGTTTCTATCCTTACTATGAAGACACACTATGTACCTAGGCAACTCTTATAAAGGAATGGGACTTGCTTACAGTTTCAGAGGATTAGTCCATTATCTTCATGGCAAGGAGACAGGCAGACAGCATGGTGCTGGATTGGTCACTGAGAGTTTCATTTACATTCTACTCCACGGGCAGAGACAGCCAGGGGACCTGGTGGCATGCTTTTGAAACCTAAAGCCTACTCCTACTGACATACCTCCTTCAACAAGGCCATACCCACTAATACGTCCTAGAGAGTTTACCAGCTGGGAACTAAGCATGAATATATATGAGGCTGAGAGAGTCAGTGCCATTCCAAACCACCATAGGTATCCACATCAACTTTAGCATTAGTGTAGTTAGTAACTCATGGCTTGGGTTGGGGCTTGAGGGAAGGGATGAACTGTAACAGGTCAAAATTCCTAGCTGATCAGTAAGTGCTTATTACAGAAGGACCAAGAATTGTCCTCTCATTTTCCGCTGAACACTATAGACCATTTTAAGAGATTAGTGGTGGTGGTGCATGCCTTTAATCCTAGTCCTCAGGTGGCAGAGGTAGAAGGATTTCTGTGAGTTTGAGGCCAGTCTGGTTTACAAGATCTAATTCCAAGACATCTAGGGCTATACAGAGTAACCGTGTCTTGAAAAACCGAGGGGGGCGGGAGGTAGAGAGAGATTTGGTTGAGTTTTATAAGCAGTATTCTTTTTTTTTTTTTTTCTACAACTGTAGCACATTCCTCTACAAGAGAGGATGCAGAAAATATTTTTAATATTAGTGGTTGAGTAGAAGGTTTTTGGATCTGTATCAATATCATAAAAGATTGTACCTGCTGGAAACACTGAAATTTGAAAAACTCAGGAGGCTTAAGTAGTAAAGAATGCCAACATTTTGATGTAATGAAAAAAGACCCTGTTTTTATTCAGCTTTTTTTTAAATATTTATTTATTCATTATGGATACAATATTCTGTCTGTGTGTATGTCTGCAGGCCAGAAGAGGGCACCAAACTCCATTACAGATGGTTGTGAGCCACCATGTGGTTGCCGGGAATTGAACTCAGGACCTTTGGAAGAGCAGGCAATGCTCTTAACCACTGAGCCATCTCTCCAGCCCCCTCGGCTTTGTTTTTTGACACATTTTTTTCCCCTGTATCATGTTTTGTGATCTTCCTGCCTCAGCCTTCTTAAGCAACTACTACCAGCATGTGCCATAACAGCCAGTGACTGTTCTGGCATTAATTTTCATGGGTTTTGTTTTTGTTTTTTCTTCGTTTTTAAAGCATAGATTTTGTTCCTTTTTTTTTTTTTTTTTGAGACAAGATTTATCTGTGTAACAGCCTTAGCTGTCCTGGAACTAGCTCTGTAGACCAGACTGGCCTCAAACTCACAAAGATCCACCTGCCTCTACCTCCTGAGTGCTGAAATTAAAGGCTTGCGCTACCACCTCCTGGCAAAACATAGATTTCTCTCCAACTAATCATGCATTCTTCTCTTTAGAGTAAATTTTGCATTTTACTAATTTTTAGAATTGTTCATGCTATAGTAAGTGGTAACAAACCATTTTAACATTTCCCACAGTCCTCTTCTAGAAGTCATTTGATTCTAGTTTTATCATTCTTTGTTCTCCAAATAAGATAAAATTATTCTTTCAAAACATATGCTAAAATTTTTGCTTCTTTTTTTTTAAGATTTATTATGTATGTAGTGTTCTATTATGTATATAGTCTGTGTATAGATGCAGGCCAGGGCACCAGCTCTTATAACAGAGGTTGTGAGCCACCATTTGGTTGCTGGGAATTGAACTTAGGACCTCTGAAAGAACAGTAAGTGCTCTTAAGCTCTGAGCCATCTCTCCAGCCTCTCTTGCTAATTTTTTTGCCTGTGTAAATCATCTGTACTTTTCCTGCAAACATACCTCATACATACTGATACTTGATAGAGATAACTTTTTATGAGTTGCTTTGAAAAATGGTGGCACTATAAAGTTATGAGCCAAAAAATGAATTCTTTATGCATTAATACTTAATATTGCATAATAAGATCCTGAGCACCTGTTAAGTGGTAGCACATTACAGGTCTCAGGTTTATTAACAGTGATCAAAACTGATGAATTTATCATCTCAGTTTGGTCAGTATACACTACATTGATAGCTTCAGTGTTCTTTTTTAAACATCTTAGTACACATAAATCTGGAAGTACTTAAGAGAAATGAATTTTTCAGGATCAGGTAATTGGTAAAAAGATGAGTAGATTTTTGTTTTTTGCAATTATTTCAATGCTCAATACATTTTTATATCCATGGTTTTCTCCATTTACAAGTGTGTGTTTGAGAAATAGCATTTTATTGTTTAAATTGTTTTGACATTTAATTAATTTATTTCTTGAGACAGGGTCTCTTTTAATCTAGTCTTGAGTGTCCTGGAATTCACTATGTAGACCAGGTCAGTTTTGAACTCACAGGGATTCTTCTATTTCTGCCTGCCCAGTGCTTGGATTAAAGATGTATATTACCATGCCCAGCGTGTGTGTGTGTGTGTGTGTGTGTGTGTGTGTGTGTGTGTGTGTACATACGTACGTGCCTGCCTGCCTTCCTCCCTCTCTCTCTTCCTACCTCCCTACCTAATTAAATGTTGTGATACACACACATACAGTGGTTGTTTTTCGAGACAGGGTTTCTCTGTATAGCCCTGGTGTGTTGGAGCTCACTCTGTAGACTAGGCTCAAGTTTGCAGAGATCGCCTATTTTTGCTTCCTGAGTGCTAGGATTAAAGGCATGTTGCCACCAACATGTGATGTAATTTTGTATTTCTATCCACTGATTATTAGTATATTAATATCAATAATTTGTTTCATTTGTTTTTAGTTTGGATATACAATATGACAGTAAAATACATGTTTGTGTATGCTAGTAGTTATAATTGGATCTGTGTAGGTGTAGTTACATGTTATGTCAAACTCAGGTAGTGAGGTGCTTAAAATTTTGTTTTGTTTTTTGAGATAGGGTTTTTCTGCATAGTGCCTGTCCGGGAACTTGCTCTGTAAACCAGACTCGGATTTGCCTGTCTCTGCCTCTTCTTCCTTTTAAGGCATTGGCCACCACAGACCGCAGAGAGGCTCTTAAAAATATTTCTGTTTTCTAAACCAGAAAATGGCATTGTAAAGCTTATATCCATGTACTTCTGTGCATGTTTTATTCTTTAAGTTCTTGGAATTGCTTATTCAAACCAGGTTTGTGTAATAGTCATGATTTGGACAACATGGGGAGTATAAAACATAGTCTGTAGAGATGAACAGACATAGACCATTTTTCTTAGGAATCTTAGAGCCCTTTTGAAATGATAACATTGATTTTTCAGAAATTAAAAAGTTAAAAGCACTTAACAGAATCTACTTTATTAAACAGAAAAACGGTAGAATGTGTGGAATTTTAAAGAAGAGTTATGGGGCTGGAGAAATGGCTCAGTGGTTAAGAGCACTGACTGCTCTTCCAGAGGTCCTGAGTTCAATTCCCAGCAACCACATGGTGGCTCACAGCCATCTGTAATGAGACCCGGCGCCCCCTTCTGGCCTGCAGGCACACATGGAAGGAATGCTGTACATATAATAAATAAATAAATCTTAAAAAAAAATAAAGAAGAGTTATTAGGATCAGAGATTTGGGGAAGCTTCTTGAAGAAACAAGTTTATAATGAGGAAAATAAAATGTAGAGCTGAGGTTTTGCAACTTATAACTTGAATGTCTGTTAATTACAATACCTGGAATAAACTTGTGGAAAATTATAAGAAGCAAATTATTCATTAATTTTTAAGGAAACTCCTTTAGTCATTTGAAATCAGTGAACAAAACATTTTATTTTGTTTTATTAACTTATTTACAAAGAGAAGTACCACCACCAGCAGCCAATGTTGGATCATTTGGTATTGGCAGCAGTAGTACTTCATTAAGTGTAATGTGAGGATGGATCTTGAGAGTAGCAGAGGCGCTGGAGAATTGTTTCCTATTCCTTGTGTTTCTATTGTGTTTTTTTTTTCCCTCTAGTGACTTTGTACTGGTTAGGAGACTAGGGTCATGGAAATTGTTAGCCACGGTATGATTTCCCTTGGATTGACGTTTACAATGGCAGGTAGTTGTTGGGAGTTTCTTTTTGGGCTTGTTTGTTTTTTTTAATGCCATGCCTGGTACCATGTCAAAGCAGATATTTAGTCATGGTGGTATGGAAAGAGAAAACAGATGACTGGTTTCTAGAATTCAAAGACTCTATTTTGTAATTCCAGCAATGTGCCACTATGTGAAATTGTAATATTACTACAATTCTGTTCCTTCATCCTGTCTCTTCCCTTCCTCCCTTCACCCTATTTTTAAGTTTCATTTTTATTTAATGGGTATTTTGTCTGCATGCCCAAAAAGCCACTGTACCATCTCTCCAGCCCCAGACTCAATAGATGATACTTGGTGCCATACCCAGCATTGCTTCCCTCTCTTTGGATCCAGTATAAATGCATTCTCATGAGAAACATTTTTTGGGGGGTCACGAGATAACTCAGTGACAATATGTGAGTCAGTTGATCCAGGATTGGTGGAAGGAGAGAATCCCATGTGTGATTCTCTACCCTCCACATACTTACCATGGCAAGTGGTCTTTTTCTGGCTTCCTCATTGCAAAAAGCCTCTCATGTAGTATATTGGTATTATTAAGACTCGTAGTTGTTTTTCATAGTCTTTCTTTTGGTTCATTTTTCTGAGAGATGGTCTCATGTATGAGGCCAGGCTAATCTTGTACTTGCTGTGTCGCTACGTCTGGCTTTGAACTTCCAATGCTCCTGCCTCTATCTACAGAGTACTGATAATACAGGTCTGTACTACTGCATCCAGTTCATGGAGAGCTAAAGGATTAAACCTGGAACTTTGTGTGTAACAGATAAGCACTCAGCAACCAAGTTAACTCCCTAGCCCCAATTGTCTGATTTATATTTTGAAGGTCCATTAAATGAACATATGAACTATAGGACGTAACGTATACTCTGAAGAGAACTGTGATACTGATGAAATTTTATAATACATGTTTTCAGTGAAATGTCTTCTTTTTTTTCCTAGAGAATGGATCTTGGAGAATGCCTGAAAGTCCATGACCTGGCTCTAAGAGCAGATTATGAAATTGCATCCAAAGAACAGGACTTTTTCTTTGAACTTGATGTATGTGATTTTGCTTTCATGTTACATTGTCCCTTGCCGTAAAAATATTTTGAACATGAATTAATGTATCTTAGAAGGAAAGACTTAGGAAGATATCTTTGTAATTAGATGACAGTTAATAGATGAATAAGGTACTGCCTCCCTCCACCCCCTATGTGCTCAAACTAGCCTCAAATTTACAGTGATCTAATTGCCTCTCCCTCCCAAGTGCTAGAATTAGACATGTGCTACCATGCCTAGGTTAAAAAGATCCTGTTTTTTTTTTAAATCAGTTTATTTTTCCCAACAAAAGTAAAAATGTTTAAAATAGTCGTTTCATCAAATCTAAGCTACCCATTTTTGTTGTATTCAAAGTCTTTGTAATGAAGTCATCTACTGAATTTTTCCATTATTAGATACTTTTACTGTATTAATAGATCACTAACTAGATGTCTCCAGTTCTGGGATGAAATTCAGGGCCCTATGCACAGTAGGCAAGCACTGTATATTGCCAGGCTACACCTGCAGCTTTGGGACCATATTTTTAGTGTAAAATAATAAAAGAAATAGAAAATACTGCTTAGGTATCAGAGGTACCAATGTGATTTAATATAGTCATTATATAGAAGCATTTCATGTATAAAAATAGAAAAATTTGAGGCTAAAGAGATGGCAGAGAACCCAAGTACAACTTCCATCACTCAACATTTTGGCTCACAAAGGATAATTCCAGTTTTAGGAGATCTAATGCCCTCTTCCTCATGTTTGCAGATACAATGTGTACACATGGTTCACATAGATACATGCAGGCAGAGCACTCATATGAAATAAATAGTTTAAAAAATAAAAATAGAGAAACTAAATTATACAAGATGTTTTAAAGAACACAACACCTTTCAAACTTCTTGCATTTTTATGAAATACATGCACATAAGACAAAATAATACATTAGGTAATTTTATTTAGTTGAAAATAGCAGTAAATAGATCCTTGTCACTTTTTTGAATATCTAAGAACTTTTTCTTATGGACATGAGAATTATCTATAGAATATATTTAATACTGTCTGGGCATAATATACAAGAGATTGTTTGCTGTTGAACGTTGTGGTTAGATAATGAGGTTATTTTCAGTCTTTCTGCATTATTGGTGAAAATTATAGCTGAGCCAAAAGGTAATTTTATAGATAATGCTTGATTGCTCATTGTGACAGTATCAGCTATTTATTTTTGAGTAATACATTAGACTTTCCCTGGGTGGGCTACACAGTGTTGTTATACTGTCTAAATACTGCTTATAATACCAGTTGAAAGATCTTTTCTGTTTTGACCCAAAAATAGTTCTCGCCTATGGTTTCATCTCTGCTATATATTTTTAAGTTTTATATTTATTTTATGTGTATGAATGCTGTGCTTGCGTGAGTGTGCCAGGCACATACATGGTATCTGTGGAGGCCAGAAGAGACAGCATCAGGTCTTCTGGGATTGGAGTTCCAGATAGCTGTAAGACACATGTGAATGTTGGGAACTAAACCGAGGTCTACAAGAAAAGCAAGTGCTCTTGACTGCTGACCAGTCTCTCCCAGCCCCCATGAGTGATTCATTTTGTATACTTAAATCCTTTGTACATCTTGGATTTATTTTGCTGTAAGAAACAGGTAGCCGGGGCTGGAGAGATGGCTCAGAGGTCAAGAGCACCCTGCTCTTCCAGAGGTCCTGAGTTCAATTCCCAACAACCATTTGGTGGCTCACAGCCATCTGTAATGAGATCTGGTGCCCTCTTCTGACCAGCAAGCATACATACATACATATAGAACACTGTATATATAATAAATAAATCTTTTTTTTTAAAAAAAAGGAAGAAAAATATTAATTAAAAAAAACAGGTAGCCAAAATACCTCCTTCATAGAACCAACAGTATTTCTTGATAAGGTCATTGTTATTTTCACTACTTTAGGATACTATATTTGACGTCACGAAATGAAAGTAGATTTTTGCTATGATTTAAAAGGTGATAGTCACTCTGCCTGTGTTATTTTGTTGGAGTTCTTATTTGGCCAGTTAAGTTCAGTGCGTGCAGAATAAATTTCTATTGTTATTTGATGTATGTACTAATCTCTTCTTTTGCTATGATAAAATCACCAGGATCAAGGTAACTAATTTGGATGTGAAGTTCATCATCATAATGGCAGGGTGGGGTGGGGTAGAGGTGGTGTGGCGGGCTGGCATCAAGTGAGCTTATATCTTAAAAGACAAGCAGGAGGCAGAGAGAACTAACTGAGAATGGCCTTTGAAACCTCAACGCCTGACCCTAGTGGCATACTTCTTCCAACAAGGCCACACTTCTTAAACCTTTATGACCAAGATTACCGACTGGGGTCTGAGTCTTCAAGTGCTTGAGAATATGTAGGATATCTCTTCAAACCACCACAGTTGAACATTTAATTTTCTCCCTTTCATTTTTGGAGAAATGAGTTTTGTAGCACTAATTGTCCTGGAATTCTGTAGACCTGCCTGGACTTAAACTCGGAGGTCTGCATGCCTTTGTCTTCCAAGTGCTGTGATTAAAGGTGTGCGCCACTATGCCTTGCTTTAAAGTTTACTTTTATTACTATTTAGCTATAAATATTAAATATACCTCAAACTAAATACAACTTTGTTAGATTTTTTTTTCTGGTGTAGGCATTGTTAAATTTCTTAATGGTGTATTTCATCTTTACTGTAAAAATTTGAAAACCACAGAATACAGACAGTTATCTAAATATTGAGAAATAACTCTTGTTGACATTATAATGGTCTTACATGGTGTGTGTGGGATGTGTGCATGCCTGTCATCAAAGATTAGCTTTTCAGGAGTTGGTTCTTTCCTATCGTGTATCCTGGAGATAGAACTCAGGTCATTAGGCTTAGTAGCAATCGAGTCATATTTATGACTCAACCATTTCTCTTTGGTTGGTTGTATTTTTGAGATACGATCTTGGCTGTATTGCTCTGGTTGACTTGACACCTGCTATGTCACTCAAACTGGTCTTGAGCTTGTTATTCTGCTCCAGTCTTCCAAGTACTGAGATTACAGGGGTTCACTGCTATATTATTACTGGGTGTTTGTTTTTTGTTGTTGCTTTGTTTTTTTTTTCTTTCACTTTTTATTTTATATTATTTACTTATTTTTTTGAAAAATTACCGCCTCTTCCCCATTTCCCATTTCCCTCCCCCTCCTCCCACACATCTCCCCCTCCCCCCACTCCATTCCCCCCCCCTCCCCCCCCTGATGAGCAGTCCAGATTCCCTGCCCTGCGGGAAGTCCAAGGTCTGTTGCTTTGTTTTTTGAGACAGGGTTTCTCTGTAGCTCTGGCTGCCCTGCAACTCACTCTGTAGACCAGGCTGGTCGCAACTCAGAGATCTGCCTGCCTCTGCCTCCACCTCCCTGATGATGGGATTAAAGATGTATGCTTCCTCTATGATAACATTTTTAAGAATGGAATTATTTTTATTGTTCTGAGGTTTTATTTTTAAAAGGTTCTTTTCTCCAGACTTTATATTTAATTAATTTAAAAAAAATTTTTTTTTTATGTGCGTGGCTGTGTTGACTGCATGAATGTCTGTGTACCATCTCTGGGTACCATGTGTGTGTTCAGTGCTCCCAGAGGCCAGAAAAAGGAATCAGATCCTCTTAGAACTGGAGTTATAGACAGCTGTTAGCTGCCATATAAGTGCTGAGAATTGAACCATGGTCCTCTGGAAGAACAGTTAGTGCTCTTAACCACTGAGCCATCTCTCCAGCCACCTTAATTTATTTTTTATAATTACTAGAAATCCAGGGCCTCACACATTTAGGCATATGTTCTATTACTAACAATTCTTCAACTTTGTGTTTTTCTTGTTTTAGGGTTGGGCTGTAGAGAGGAGTATAGCAGATTCAACCCAATGCTTTCTACATAATAGGAAAGCACTTCTGTGCTTAGGTCTTCATTCCTTACCAAAAATACAGTGTTTAGTAAAAATATTTCTGGATAACATTGACTTTGTGGCAGTAATTGTTTTGTATTAAATTTTCTAGGCCATGGATCATCTGCAGTCCTTCATTGCAGATTGTGATCGAAGAACTGAAGTGTCTAAGAAAAGATTAGCAGAAACTCAAGAAGAGATAAGTGCTGAAGTGGCAGCAAAGGTAAGAATTTTAGTCATTTCATTAGTTCAAAGTATGCTTGTTTTTGTTTGTTTTATTTTGTTTTTGTTATTATTGTTTGAGATGCCTTTTTTGCCTAGGCTGTTCTGGTGCTCACTTTGTAGACCAGACTAGCTTCAAACTCATAGAGACCTACCTGCTTCTGCCTTTGCCTCCCAAATGCTGGGATTATAAAGTATAGTTTTAATTTTAAAATATATATTTAATTTTAATTTTATTCACTCCATTTTAAAAAAATTTTCCCTCTTGTATATTTGAGACAGGGTCTCACTGTGTAGTCTGTGGCTGACTAGGAACTTACTATATGGCCAGGCTGCTCTTTAACTCAGAAATCTACCTGCCTCTGCCTCTGAGTGCTAGGGTTAATAAAGGCGTATGCCACCATGCTAGGCTCATTCCAACTTTTTGATTTTTCAATAATTAGGTAGTAAACTTAAATAGGGAATTCTCTGGAATTGTTTTTACTTACTCAAATGCTAACTAATATAGCAATCATATAACAAAGTAACACTGATAATTATGTTTTATTCAGAATTGCCAGTCATACATGCATTCATTTGTATGTAACAAATATATGTATAGTTCCTTCCTTCCTTCTTTCATTTATTTAGTTTTTGAGAGAATTTTTCTGTAGTCCTAGCTTTCCTGTAACTAGCTCTGTATACCATGCTGACTTTGAACTCACAGAGAACTTCCTGTCTTTGCTTTTTTAGGTTTTGTGTATACAGTGTTCAGCCTACTTGTATACCTGCAGGCCAGAAGAGAGCATCTCATTTATTACATATGGTTGTGAGCCACAATGTGGTTGCTGGGAATTGAACTCAGGACTTTTGGAAGAGCAACCAGTGCTCTTAACTGCTGAGCCATCTCTCCAGCTTCATGAGTGAATCAGAACCCCTGAAACTGGAGTTAAATTGTGAACCACCTGATAGGGATGCAGGGTGCTGAACCTGGGTTCTCTAAGTGTTGAAACAGTTCTTAACCACTGAACTATCTATCCAGTTTCTTGATTCTTTTGTTATTAAAACACATAAGCTTGCTGGGCGATGGTGGCGCACGCCTTTAATCCCAGCACTCGGGAGGCAGAGGCAGGAGGATCTCTGTGAGTTCGAGACCAGCCTGGTCTACAGAGCTAGTTCCAGGACAGGCTCCAAAGCCACAGAGAAACCCTGTCTCGAAAAACAAAAAAAAAAAAAAAAAAAAACCATAATAAGCTTGTGTAGTTTAAGATACTGAAGTAGCAATGAAAATAATTTTATGGCTGGGGTCATCACGATATGAGAAACATATTGTGGCAACATTAGAAAGATTGAGAACTACTGATATAAGGGATCATGTATCTCATGCTTAAGCTGTCTACCAGTGATTAAGTTCTACTGACCTGTATTGGTTATAACCTCAAACACAGTGACTCAAACTGTGTAATAGATCAGTTAGAGTAAACTTGATTGCACAGTACTCTTGTCTTAGCAGTCATGTCCTGGCACATGTTTTATAGTCAGCTGGAGGCTGCTGAGATATTCTTTGAGAGCTAAACTAATCATTTTCTTTTAGTAGTTGCAGAGGCAGAAGCATCATACTCAGTTATGCCGTAATTTTCAAGCCTTTTCTTAGGATTTGCTTGTTCTCCATTGCTACAGTAAAAGCAAATGTACGAGTAAGTTTAGAATCAAAGTACAATTGTGAGTGCAGATGTAAGGAGGATTGAAGATCTTTGGTTAAATTATCAGTGTTAATTTAAAGAAAACATCACTTTGATAAAGAATAGTCATAAAAAAACTAAAAAAAAAAAAGAATAGTCATAAAAGAGTTGGGACCCTTGAGGAAAGGAATGTCTTGGATTTTGGACACTTTAAGAAGTAAATATTATTGGAATACTACTTTGTTAAGATCGAATGTTTCTATTAAGTTAAACTTTTATTTATAAGTGTGGTGTTGTACTTGCGCTATATAACGAGTCTGAAATACATTGTTTCGCTCCTTTCGATTTTTTTTTAATGTTATGGTTCTTTTGTGTATGTGTGTGTGTTTTGCTTGTGAGTATGTGTCTGTGTTTCATACATGGGCCTAGTGCCTGTGGAGGTCAAAATAAGGCATTGGGTTTCCTGGAACTGAAGTTATAAATGGTTGCTAGCTGCAATGTGGGTACTGGGAATTAAACTCAGGTTCTCTAGAAGAGCAGCCAGTGATCTTAACTGCCGAGTTGTCTTTTCAACCCTTCATTCTGTTTTTCATTCGTGATATTCTCTTTGTTTTTTTCCAGGCTGAACGTGTTCATGAGTTAAATGAAGAAATAGGTAAATTGTTGGCCAAAGTGGAACAACTAGGAGCTGAAGGAAATGTGGAAGAATCTCAGAAAGTCATGGATGAAGTGGAGAAAGCACGAGCAAAGAAAAGAGAAGCAGAGGTAAAATTTGTGTGTTTGGTTTTGGGGGGGGGGGGGTTGGTTCTGTTTTGAGACAAAGTGTTACTGTGAGACCCAGCCATCTTAGAAAGAGTTAAGTTCTTAATAGTGGTAAAATGTTAGTGTCTGTACTTCTTATAGAACATATATTTAACTGGAAATTATTCAAAATTTTATTAAAGGAAATTAAAGCAATTCAGAAATGTTTAATTGCTATTATAATGTTGGGTTCTGTTTTAAAGTAGCTTTTGGAAAATTGGAGCCATTGCTATATTGAAACTCAGATGTAATCAAACCAATTACCCACATAAAACAAATACACCTGTAGACAATGTGCTACCTACCCTTTTCCTCAGTAGTTTTACTTACCTAACAGTATCATCTGCTTTTACCTTGGGAGCCTTCTCTGGTTCATATTTTATATAGGTAAAAATTCTAGCATCATGTAAACAAATTCTGTTGTGATTGGTATACCCCCTGATATGTAGAAACTCAAATATATTTTGTGGAGATTGTGGTATAGTCTTTTTCAGTAGTTTCTATTGGACTTACAAACTGATGACATCTAGACTGCTTCATGATGATCTCTATCTTTTCAACTCTGGGGAGTAAGCTTTTTTTTTTTTTAATTCTTAAATCTCAAATTAAAATATTTTCATGCTTAGAAGTGCAGAGTTGCAGATGAAGTGATTCACACCTGCAGTCCCAGCAGTTGAAAAGCAGAGTAAGAGGATCATAGATTTGTAACCAACCTATCTATTGAGACCCCATCTTGAAATAAAGAAAAAGATGGCAAGATCTGTTGTGACAAGATTAAAAATGAAGCCCTATCATTCAAACTAATGTTGGGTACATACTGTTTTTACTTCTGTTCTGTTCTTGTACTCTGGTTCTTCATACCAGTGCGGAAAAACAGCAAAAGGAAGCAATTTTAGTAAATCCTTTTAGCATATTGTATATCTGAATGTAAGAATTTAGTACAGGAAGGACGATAAAAGGAAGACGTCATCATTGTTCCTTATAGCACCTGGATAACACCCATATCATATGATGACCCTAAGACATTAAAGAAAATATTATCTGGAGGAAGAGAAAGGCCTATGACATTGAATGCACGTTAGTTATTTTCACATAATTCCTCTTTCTTGGAGTTTAACCTGGGGCTTCATGCAAGCAGGCAGGGTAAGCACTCAACCATTGAGCTTATATTCACACCCCACTTTTTTGTTGTTGTTGTTGTTGATTTTTCAAGACAGGGTTTCTCTGTGTAGCCCTAGTTTTAGAACTGGGAGATTTGCCTGCCTCTGCGTTCCAAGTGCTGGGATTAAAGATGTGTGACCCAACTGTCTGTTTTATCCCCTTTTAAAATTTCCTTTTGAGACAGAACAGGACCTTGAAGCTGCTCAGTGTAGCCTTAAACTTATGATTTCCCCTGTCTTCATAGTTTGTGTAATTTCTGATGATAATAGCAATTCTCCCATTGTGAAGTGTTTTCCTTTTGTGATTAGTTAAGTACCTTATTTATACTTTGAAATTACCCCCCCTTAAAGTCTTAATTGTTTAATATATATGAGTGTTTTGCTTATATGTATATATATGTACTTTGTACATACCTGATGCTCATAGGCTGGAAGAAGGCAGTATACACTTTAGGGTTGGAGTTATGATAGTTGTAAGCTGCAATTTGACTACTAAGCATAGAACCTCTGGACGGAGTAAGTAGCCAGTGCTCTTAACCACTAAGCCATCCTTTATAATATTTTTAAATTTATAGGTTATATTATCCATTGATGATTCATTTGTGTGTGTGCCTGTGTGTACATAAATACATATTCTCACGTGTGGGTCCACGTTCATGTATATACATATGTGAAAAACAGAGGATAACCCCAGGATCTGTCTGCCTTTTATTTTGAGACATAGTCTCTCAATGGCTTGAAATTTGCCTGGTAGGTAACCTGACTAGCCAGCCACTCAGTTCTAGAGATCTATCCACTTGTCTTTAATCTCCTCGTTATTGAGATTACAAGCACACACCACCACGCTGTCATTTAGAGGAAGGGCTTGTGTAGTGTATAGGTGAGCAGACAACTTCTAAGAATCAGTTTTTTTCTTCCACCTTGGGTTTTCTTTTACAATGTGGGTCTTAGGAATTGTACTTCCGTGATCAGGCTTAACAACAAGTGTCTTTACCCCCTAATCCATTTTTCCAGCTTTGCCTGGCAGCTTTTTGTTTTTTTAACTTTGGTTACAGGGATCAAACTCAGGTCTTAAGGCTTGTAAATTAAGCACTTACAATTGAGTTCTTAGCCCCTTCATTGGTGATTTCTTCTTTGATCTTTTAATTCTCTTTTAAAGAATTCTGTACATTTTTATCCAGCTATTTTTATTAATATTATTCTAGCTAAAGCTACTTAGGCTTGGAAAATGTTTTTTTTTTTTTTAAAGATTTATTTATTATGTATACAATGTTCTGCCTGCATGTGTCCCTGCAGGCCAGAAGTTGGCACCAGATTTTATTACAAGTGGTTGTGAGCCACCATGTGGTTGCTGGGAATTGAACTCAGGACCTGTGGAAGAACAATTAATGCTCTTAACCACTGAGCCATCTCTCCAGCCCCTTGGAAAATGTTCTTAACTGCCATAAACAGAATAACAGAATCATCTTAGTAAACGAAAGGAGGATAGTGGATTGGCAAATTTACCAGTATGTATTGTTCATTGATGAACACCATGTCAGTGTTTGGCAACAACTCATCAGAATCCTGATGAATATTAACCTTTCATCTGTTATCTTGGGGACTGGGAGTGAAGGATAGGTGAAGCTTTGATCTTCAACAGAGCTCTCTCTCAATGACTTTGAAAACATTTTGTGTGTATACATTATATTTTCTTACAGAACTTTTAAGGACATTTGTGTGATCATTGTTTTTCTTATTTTATTTAGGAAGTTTATCGGAATTCTATGCCAGCTTCCAGTTTCCAGCAGCAGAAACTTCGAGTCTGTGAAGTTTGTTCCGCATATTTAGGTCTTCATGATAATGACAGGCGACTTGCTGATCATTTTGGGGGTAAACTGCACCTGGGATTTATTGAAATAAGAGAGAAACTTGAAGAATTAAAGGTACATTGCATAAATTAATATTGCTTACTTTATCCTGGTCAACCTAGTTCTTTTACTCTATCTGTTTTCTTCTGGTTTTCTTTGCTGTGTAGCTCTGGTTCATCTTGAACTACTTACTGTCAGTTCTCTTGTCTCAGCCTCCCTAGTATTGTAATTACAGTTAGTTTTTGAGTAGTACTGTGCTGAGAAACAGAAGGTCATGTAGATGTGATTTTAAAAAAAAAAAATGATTTTACGTGTACATTGTTCTGTTTGATTGTTTGCCTGCTTGCCAGAAGAAGGCATTGGTTCTTATTGTAGATGGTATTGAGCCACCATGTGGTTGCCGGGAATTGAACTCAGGACCTTTGTAAGAGCAGGCAATGCTTTTAACCACTGAGCCATCTCTCTAGCCCTTGTTTTTTTTTTTTTTTTCCAATGTTAACTAAGGAATGATGAGGGGCGGACTAAACTCAATGGTAGCCTTTCATGCTTGGAAAAAGACAAATCATGATGAAATAAAGTTTTAACATGTTTTTTACAATTCTGGAAAGCTAACTTAGAAGTCTAATAATTGTACATGACAAAATTTTAAATTGGGTTAGTTGTATTGTATTAGTTGTATTATATGAGAAACTAAAGTAAGCATAATTAAGGATTTGTCCAGTAAATTTACAACTGGTTTTTAAATTATTCATTTTAAAGAGAGTTGTAGCTGAGAAGCAGGAGAAAAGAAACCAGGAACGTCTGAAACGAAGAGAAGAGAGGGAGAGAGAAGAACGGGAAAAACTGAGGAGGTATGTTTGGGTCAGAAATAGTACATGTGTTTGAAACTCAGTCTCTAGCCTAAAGAGTATATGACTTGAAGGTGCTATTAAACTGGTTCTGGGCATAGAAATTTAGAGATTTTTGCCTTTAAAGAATGTTGTTACCATGCAAGCTGGGCATGATATTACTCAATCCCAGAAGGTGGAAAGTGGAAGACAAAAACCTGTTCCCAAAAGTTGTCCTCTGACCTCTAAGAGCATGCCATGGCATACTGTGTCACATGGGGGTGTGCAAAATAAATTAATAATTAAAAACAAAACAATTAGAAATATTAAGTGCGTGAATATAGAATGAGGCAGACAAACACATTTGTCAAAGTTTTAGGAAAAAAGTCAGAAACATAGTGGGGCTGGACTGCGGTTGATGCACACCTTTAATCCCAGTACTTGCGGGGGGGGGGGGGGGGGGGGGGGGGAGATAGGCAGGTGATCTCTTGAGTTTGAGACCAACCTGTTCTACATAGTGAGTTCTAGGACAGCCAAGGCCACACAGAGGTACACTACCTCAGAATACAAAAAATAAAAGCAAAAGAAAATTACCTTGTAAGACCATTTTAATAGGAATGATAAAGATTCAGTAGCTTGTATTTATCTAAAATGTTTTAACCAGAAATGTTTCAAAATTTGGAGTGTCTGAATTGGGGTATATATGAGTAGACAAACCTCACCTGTTTAGCATCTCTAATTTAAAATCTGAAATGATCCAGAAATTCTAGTATTTGAGTGTCATGTCTGAATTTCACATTTTCATGCTAGGGGTGTTCAGCCTTTATAGTTCTTAGCTAGTCAACTGAGCTAATATGATTTCATTCAAGATTGTAGAAAAGCAAATAAGGAATGTTTCGTGTCTTCAGGGTGAATGAGTTACCGTAAAACCTCTTGCTACCCATTGATTATTTTTTTCCCCTATACTGGACTAGATTTGTACCTTCTTAGCACAGAACTGTGGCCTTTCTTTTTTTTTTTGGTGGTGATGGTGGTCTTGGGACTTGAGCCCAGGGGTGGTATATGCTAGGCAAGCACTCTAATATACCACCTTTTATACTTTTTGAGGAAGGATTTGGGAGATTTTGGAGGTTTTGTTGTTGTTGTTTTTATGTTAAACTGTTACTGTTTTCTCAGTTGTAGGAGCCATAAGTTATTATTTTGTTTTGTTTTGGTTTTTGTCTTTTGTATTGTTTTTTCAAGACAGGGTTTCTCTGTATAGTCCTAGCTGTCCTGGAACTTGCTCTGTCTTCCCCTTCACCGCCAAGTCCAGTGGAGCCATAAATTACAGAAATTCATTAACTTGATATAGCAAGTCTGCTTATATTAATTCATTAATTAGTAAATTTAGTATTTTCATATTTAGAGTGTTTGAACATCCTTTTAGTCATTGTTGCCCATTGACATGTTCATAACTTTAAGCATTTTATAATAGACTGTCATACCACAAAGAAATTTACCCTTTCATTACCATGTACATTGCTCGTGTACATGGCGGGCACACATGTGTACCCTGCTTAGGTGGAGGTCAGGACTTTTCACCATGAGAGCCCAACTCAGGCCACCAGGCTTTTATGGCAATGCCTTTTCACTAAGCCATTTCATTGGCTTTTGCTGGTAGTCTTTTTATTTTAAGAATAGAATGTTGTCATCTGTTTTGAGAAATCTTTTGTCTCTTGCTCTTTTTCTTACTGCCTCACCCCTTCCCCATTTCTAATTCCCTGTGTTTTACATTTAACAAATTTTATTTCAGGATTTGCTCCTTTGTTTTTAGTGTATGCTGAGGTTGTACTCCCTTATCCCTCCAGTTTTTTCTGTTTATGGGGATGTGTCAGTGTGTGTGTGTGTGTGTGTGTGTGTGTGTGTGTGTGCGCGTGTGTGCGCGCGCGCGCCGCCGCCGCAGGAGATTGGGGGGGCAGGGGATGTGAAAGTCCGAGGACTGTTTTCTGGAATTGGTTCATCTTTCACCTTATTAAGGCAAGGTCTCTTGCTTCTGCGTTTTTATCTGCTGTTTTACTTTTATTATAGTGACACGGTCTCTGTATCCCTAGCTGTCCTGAATCTCTGTAGAATAGGCTAGCCTCGAATTTACAGAGATCCGCCTGTCTTTTTTTTTTTCCCCCCGCCTGTCTCTTAAAAGCATGCGTACCACCATATCTACCTTGCTTGATTGTTGATTCTAGGTCTTGTGTAACCTGGGCCAACTTCTTGAGTGCGTAGATTTCAAGTACTTTGTCACTATGCTAGGCAGTTTTTTCTCCTTTTAAATTGTTTCCTCAAGAATCTTCAAACAGCAGTGAAAACCTAACTAACACAGATTTAAAAGGAGAAAGATTTGTTTTGCTTGTAGACTCAGAAGTTTGAGCACCTAGTTTGCTCGCTCCATTGTTGTGGGCCTGTCATTAAGGCCCACACCATAGAGACTGAAAGACACAAAGGGTCATGGTAGAGAAAAGCTACTTACTGCAAGATAGGCAAGCACAGTAAGCTGACATGAGAGATTCAGACTTAAGATGCTCCCTTCAAAGAACCTACTCCTTTGAACTAGGTCTCATATACTGGTTTCTATAACACAGAACCATCAAATTAAGAATCTTTTATCTGGGACTGGAGATATGGCTAAGGATGCTTGCTTGTGATTCCCAACTCCATGGGATCCAACACCTTCTGTCTTCCACAGCTATCTACATGCACACATTTTAAATATTGTCTTTAGATTTTATATCCATTGATTGGGTAAGAGCCCTTATGATTGAGTTGGCCTTTGATGATTAGATATACCAGTTGGTGACTAGATCATTAGCACATTAACTTTTGAGGGACATTGCCTAGCCAATGACATTTATATTGCTATTCCTGTCTTTCAAATGATAGATTAAACCAAGGGAGGATATATAACTTTCTCCTGGTTGCACAGAGAGAGCATGGATAGAATCATAGTTAATATAGCTCAAAGCATACTTTAAAATATGCTTGCCATTATATATACACTCACACTACAAAATAAACCCTGCAGTGTTAGGAAATAGAATTGTTTATTGAGTGCTAACACTGCTGGGAAATGTCAAGGGTTGTTATATAAGGTAATAATCTGGGGTTGGATCATTTGGAAGGTAGAGAGATGGTTTGCTGGTTTAAACATATTTAAACTCACATATTTCCTTTTCTGGGGTTCCAGCCTCTTCTGACCTCAGACATGCACATGGGTTACATACATACATGCAGACAAATACGCACTTTTTTTAAAAAATGGAGGAATATAATCATTTTGGGATTGGAAAGATGCTTAGTGATTAACAACATGCACTTCTCTTCTAGGGGACCTGAGTCCAGTTGCTAGCATACACGTTGGGCAGTTAACAATTTCCTGTGACTCAGGCGCCACAATATCCAATGCTTCTAGCTCCTGAGTCATGCATAACCAGGCTTTACATGTACACATACACACTTAAAAATATTATTTTCTGGGCTGGAGAGATAATGGCCCAGCAGTTAGGAGTTAAAAGCACTGACTGTTCTTCCAGAGGCCCGGAATTCAATTCCCAGCAACCACATGGTGGCCCACACCGTCTATAATGGGATACAGTGACCTCTGTTGAGCAGAGGACTATGCAGGCAGAGCACTCAATATACATAAATAAAAATAAATTATTTTCTTTTTTAAGGACTATAATTCATGTTAATGGACAAAGATGTAAAGTTGAATTCCTTTTCTTGGGCCTGTAGTATGAGGTTGTAGGTTCAAAATGGACATTTTAGATCATGAGACATTTTTCTTTGTTCCCAGAAGACAAAAGCACAGTGATAGTGTGAAAGCTATAGAAAAATAGGGGTGTGTGTGTGTGTACTTCTTTTAAATTGTTGTTTGTTTCTGTTGTTGTTCTAGTCTAGGAAACAGTTTCTGGAGAATTGCTTTTGTGATAAGCACAGTTTCAGTCTCCAGAAGAATATTCTTTTCTAAGCAAGTGTCTAGTTGAAGGAACTGCTGTGACAAGGTAGAGAATTCTATAGAGTTGTTTTTTGTTCTTTTTGCTGGGGGTAGACTCCAATGCATAAGTACATGCTTTACTTTTATAGAAGTAAATGTCAGAGGCCGGTGGTGGCACACGCCTTTAATCCCAGCACTTAGGAGGCAGAGGCTGGTGAACCCCTATGAGTTCAAGAGCTAGTTCCAGGACAGGCTCCAAAGCTACAGAGAAACCCTGTCTCGAGCCACCACCCCCCCCCCCCCCCAAAAAAAAAAAAAAAAGAAGTAGTAGTTAATATCAGAACTCAAGAAAAATATCATTTACAAGTACAATGTACCAGTTTAGAAATTTATATAGTCACTTTTCTAAAAGTAGATATTCTTTTTTTAGGTCCCGCTCACATAGCAAGAATCCCAAAAGGTAGGTACCATAGAAGATGGATAAAATAGTGAAGCTGTATTTTTCAAATGTATGTTCTTTGGATTATATATCTCTTAAATTTGAATGACAATTAATGAATTATTATTGGTTGAGCTGGGCAGTGGTGGAACATACCTTTAATCCCAGCACTTGGTAGTCAAACCCTGTCTTGAAAAAAAGAAGTTATTACTGACTTATTCTTTTATAGTTCAGGTTTGAGCTGTTTTCTTTAAAAATCTTTTGGAAGTTCAGAAAATATAGGATTTTTAAAATTTTTATTTTATATGCATTGCTATTTTGCCTGCTTGTATGTCTGGGTGAGAGTGTCAGATCTTGGAGTTAGAGGCAGTTGTGAACTTCCATGTGGTTGCTGGGGTTGAACCAGGGTCCTCTGGAATTTCAGCCATTGCTCTTTCCTGCTGAGCCATCTTTTTAGCCCAGAATTAATTAATTAATTCATTCATTCATTCATTCGTTCATTTCTTTCATAGCAGGGTTTTTCTATAACTATCCCAAGTCCTGGAACTAGCTCTTGTAGACCAGGCTGGCCTCAAACTCAGAGAAATCCACCTACCTTTGCCTTCTGAGTACTGGGATTAAAGGCGTGCATTGCTACTGCCCGACAGAATTTTTTTAAAAGACAGTTTGAAAAAAATAAATCAATTTGAGTGGTCCATTTAAGAAACAATATCCTAACATATCTGTTGGAAATACAAATAGGCTAGCCAGCTGGGGATTTTGTTGTTACTGTGTGGGTTTTCTTTTGTTTCGGTTTTTGAGACTGTATCCATGTTGGCTCCAGTTTGTCTTCTGGAACTATTAGTAAGGATCACAGGCATGTGTCAGCATACTTACTTGTTTTTTCCAGGCAGGGTCTTGTGTGAATTCATTATCCTCCTACTTCTGTATTCCTTAGTGATGAGATTACAGCTGTGTACAACCACATCTGACACTATATCCTTAGTGGGTGTCTGTGTATGTCGTCCAGTGTGCCCTGAGAAAGTTGTTTACATTTGTTTTCACAGTAATACTTCCCCCAGTCAGTTTCTGTAAGCACCACTTAGAGCTTCCTGGTTTGAATGATGAAATACTTCATCTTCATATTTGTTAAACCCTAATTTTGCTCTTTACTCACTTCATTGTAGCCAAGCAGGTTTTGTCAGCCTTCAACATGTTCAACTTGCTCTCATTCCAGAACTTTATACCCGGATGGTTTTCTCTATGCTGACTGATTTGCTTCCCTTTTTTCAATCTTTGCTCAAATGCCGTTCTGTCAGAAAATCCTTCTATGCCTGCTTTATGTAAACTCTTACTACCCATATCTGTTTGCTTATTTCTTTACTAGAGGAAGATCTCTAGAGACTTGTTTCTTAGACTATGAACTCTAAGTAAATAATAAATAATAAGTTCAGGGACTTATTTTACTGTTCTTTTTTCTCTTGTAACTAAAAAGGTGCAATGGGCTAGGTACCTAGAAAATATATTTTCATGAATAATTATTATCTAGACATTTTTAAAAGTTGCATTAAATTGGGCTGGGTAGTGATGGTGCATGCCTTTAATCCCAGCACTTGAGAGGCAGAGGTGGTTGGATCTCTGTGAGTTCGAGGTCATCCTGGTCTACAAATGAAGTTCCAGGACAGCCAGATCTTTCTCATGAAAGATCAACTTATTTACCTATGTATCTGTCATGAGAGGTCTGTCTGTCTGTCTGTCTGTATCTAGAGAAAATTATACAAAGAATCCCTGTCTCAAAACCAACAAACACGCATAATAAATAAAAAATTCATTTAAAAACAAACTATTACAATTATTACACTTTTGAAGTTATGAGAAAATACTTTTTGGTTTTTTTGTTTGTTTGTTTGTTTGTTTTTCAAAACAGGGTTTCTCTGTAGCTTTGGTGCCTGTCCTGGAACTAGCTCTTTTTAGACCAAGCTGGTCTCGAACTCACAGAGATCCACCTGCCTCTGCCTCCTGAGTGCTGGGGCCGCCCAGCTGAGAAAATACATTCTTATGGTAATTTGAAACTTTCTTTTTCTAATTTGTAGCTATAGTATCCTAAGCTGTCCATGAATTTACTATCTTCCTACTTCCTCCCCCTGAATGCTGGGATTACAAATAAGCATCACCGTGTCATCAGTTTTGCTCTGAAAGAAGTAAAACAGTATGCTTTTTATCTTTTTGTTTTCCTTTACATATTTCTGTTCTTTTAATGCTGTCTCTATCCTCATCCCCCCCCCCTCACACACACACACACACACACACACACACACGAGTTTTGGAAAAATGCTTAAATTCTGTTTGAATTTTAGCTTATTATAGGCATTCAAAACTTTAGTGGTCAAATTTTGTAATTTAAGTACCGAATGATTTATCCTTAAGTATTCTTTATCATTCTCTTTATATGCATCAGATATATTTAATTTTTTTCTTTTTTTGTGGGGGGTTTGTTTTTTGGTGTTGGTTTTTGTTATTATTTTTGAGTATATGCTGTGTGTGTGGAGGGGTGCCCTTGAAAGACAGAACATCAGGTTCCCTGGAACTAGAATTATAAGTGATTGTCTGCCACCTCATAAACATGTTGGGAATTAGACTTATATTGTAGAAGAGCAGCATGCATTCTTAGCTTATTGAGCCATCTTTCCTAGACCCCTAAATTTCTTAAGTGTGCTCAGAATTAAAAAAAAAAAAAGAAATTTCAAAAACTTGGCATGAAGTGGAAATACTTATTGTTGCCTTCATTTTTCTTTCATATTCCTAGGATAACTTTTTATTTTTTTTAAATATTTATTATTTATTATGTATACAATAGTCTATCTGTGTGTATGCCGAAGGCCAGAAGAGGGCACCATACCTTATTGCAGATGGTTGTGAGCCACCATGTGGTTGCTGGGAATTGAACTCAGGACCTTTGGAAGAGCAGGCAATGCTCTTAACCACTGAGCCATCTCTCTAGCCCTAGGATAATTTTTAAAAAAAAATTTTGCCGAGCAGTGATGGCATATACCACCTCTAATCCCAGCACTCGGGAGGCAGGGACAGGTGGACCTCTGTGAGTTCGAGGCCTAGTCTACAGAGCTAGTGCCAGGACAGGCTCCAAAGCTGAACAGAGAAAACCTGTCTTTGGGTGGGTGGGGTATTTATGTATGCATGTGGGTTTCTTGTTTGTTTTGTTTTTAGGTATGAATGCTCTGTCTGCATGTATGCCTAAATATCTGAAGAGGGCATCAGATTCCATTATGGGTGGTTGTGAGCCACCATATAGTTGCTGGGAATTAAACTTAAGAACTTTGGAAGAACAGTTGTATTCTTAACAATTGAGTCATCTCTCTAGCCTCATACATCTTATTTAGAGTCTCACTATGTGTATGTAGCTCTGGCTGGCCTCAAAACTCAGTGTACCACCACAACTTCCCCTGATTAATCTTTTTATTACTATTTTTGTTGCGTATGTGTTTTTGCCCGTGTATCTGTGAGTCTATGTGTATATGTATGTCTGGTGTGATTTTCTGAAGAGAGCTTTGGTATTGTCCTCTCTAACCCCTGTCTGAATCTGGGGTTTGTGTTTTCTCAGCTAGGGTGTAAACTAACAAGTCTCAACAGTCCTCCTGCCCTTTGTTCTCTGCTGAGGTTACAGGTGCGTGCTGAAATCTACACTCTAGTATTCATGGTTGTGCAGCAAGCACTTTTATCAACTCAGCCTTTTTTTCCTGTCTAATAGTGGGGGTGGGTCCTTTTAGCCCTTTGGATGTTAGCAACGTCTGTACCACTGAGCTATAATTGTAGTGAGTCTATTACTGTCCTGCCTGCCAGCTTCCAAATAATCACATGGAGAATTCTTAATAGTTATAAAACCTCAGCTGGTAGCTTAGGGTTGTTTTTAGCTAGCTCTTAAGAGGCTTGTCCACCTCATCCTGCTTCCTCTGTGTCTCCTCGTCTCTGCCCTTCTTTCCAGTGTGTTCTGTGCCTGGAAACCCAAGCTATTGACCATTCATCTTTTTATTAAACCATCTTCACAGTATATGAAGAGATTATTCTGCAACACTACCCCCTTTTTGTCTAAAAAGGAAAGATTTTAACTCTTAACACAATAAAAACTTTATACAATATGAACAATTATCAGGTAGGAATTATACTCACAATGTCCAATTTATTTGTATTTGGCAAAGTTGGAGAAAGTACTGAATTATTTATCCTATTTTAGCCCAAAGTCTCATAACTAAGCCATTTTATGTTATAACTTTTATTACCATTGTTAAAAAAATTTTAGATCTTAAAAAATCTTTTTAGATAAACAAATTAAGCTTTTATGTTTTCAACCTATATATTTTGTATCTCTTTAGTAAGTTTTTCTCTTTAATTTAATGATAGTGAAAACTGTCTTGTCTTCAGCTCCATCTGATACCCAACAAGGATAAAATATTACTTGAGTAAACCAGAAGTGCAGAGCAAACAACTTCCAAAACTATAGAAATGGCAGAGACGTCTGGACAGTCACCCTAATGTTCCTCTGTAATGCTGGGGCATTTATCTTTGGCCACAGGACCAGAATATATGACAGACATTGTTATAAAGCAGGAATTTTGAAGGACTGTCTTACCTTGTCTTGACAAAGTTTGGTATTTGCTTTCTATTGTGTCCTGTCCGTCCAGTTTGAACAGCATACTGTCAGCAATCGAGGCAAGGGCAGTTTCTTACTCAAATGTCTAGCTTTTGTCACAAAACAAACTCCTTATGGAGGTTCTTTGATGCCCATCATCCTTTTATGAAGAATTGGTTCTGCCAGGAACAAACATGTCTCATTGTCATATAAAGTCTTATGTTATTAAAACAGGTCTCTGAAGTGTTTGAAGACCATCTGTTTAAAATATATCTTTGACTTTGAAAACATACCAGGAATGACTATAAATCATGATTATTACAGGACTAACTGCTAACCTATATTATTTAATATCAATAACTTTGAAATACCAAAACTTTACATAACCTTTTTAAAAGAGCTGCATAGGTAAAATACCTTAAATAATAGTAGACATTATATATATACAGTATAACAAAAAGACCTTAAATTTGTATCATATACAAAAATCCATACTAATATAAAATATTTGAGGCCAGTGGTTGTTTAAAAGTAGATTCAAGGGTGCTGGAGAGATGGCTCAGTGATTAAGACTGCTCTTCCAGAGGTCCTGTTCAATTCCCAGCAACCATATAGTGGCTCACAACCATCAGTAATATGATCTGGTGCCAACTTCTGTCTTCAGGGACACATGCAGGCAGACCATTGTATACATAATGAATAAATAAGTTTTTTTAAAAAGTAGATTCAAAAATCCACCCTTTTATCTCATCTTTTCTATATTATATCCCCCTTTTTTTCTTCATTGCATTCCTAGTTAACTGACATAAATTTATACAGTATGCATTGACTTCTGGAAATTAGTGTTCTAGGTTTTATTTTGAAATCCTCGTTATTAGTCATTAACATACTAGCAATGTGTTGCCATTGAGCATATAATTTATTTAGAATAGAATTGCCATCAAGTACAGCTACTGAAGAATAACTTCTCAGTCCTGGCAAGATAGCTCAACTAGCTAAGGTACCTAACACAAGCCTGATAACCTGAGTTCAATTCCTGGGACTCTTATTGTGGCAAGAGACTCCCAAAGTTTGTCCTCTGACCTACCCCTCATATCCTGTGATTTGCTCATTGGCACACACATCCCTCTGTTTCTTTGTTTTTTGTTTTTCCATGTAGTTCTGGCTGTCCTGGAACTCTGTAGAGGAGACTGGCCTCAAACTCAGACATCTGCCTGCCTCTGCCTCCCAAGTGCTGGGATTAAATGCATGTACCATCACTACCTGGCCACACAAGACTTTTTTTTTTTTTTTTTAATAAGAATTAGCTTTGGGCTGGAGAGATGGCTCAGTGGTTAAGAGCATTGCCTGCTCTTCCAAAGGTCCTGAGTTCAATTCCCAGCAACCACAGGGTGGCTCACAACCATCTGTAATGAGATCTGGTGCCCTCTTCTGGCCTGCAGGCATACATGCAGACAGAATATTGTATATGTAATAAATATTTTTTTTAAAAAAAAGAATTAACTTCTTTTTGAAGAAAAATTTAAGTGTGACATAAGAATTGTAGCACTAACAATGAATGAAGTAAATTATTTTCTTGTAGATCTAGATCTAGAGAGCATCGTAGACACCGATCTCGCTCCATGTCACGAGAACGCAAGAGGAGGACTCGATCCAAGTCTCGAGAGAAACGGCATCGCCACAGGTCCCGTTCCAGTAGCCGCAGCCGCAGCCGCAGCCACCAGAGAAGTCGGCACAGTTCTAGAGATAGGAGCAGAGAGCGATCCAAGAGGAGGTACTGAAGTGCCGATCAGAGGATGCGGAGCTACCTTTAAGTTTTAGCCTTTTAAGTTTACTTATGTTACTTATGCTTAGATTATTGGTTTGAAACTTGCACCTGGTGTTGATATGTACTCGATTGTAGGTGTATACATTTTTTTCTGATTGTATGAGTAGTTCATGCAGAGTAATGTGTGAGCCAGAGTAAGAAATTGGAGACAGTATGTGCAGAGGTTATTGCTTTTCTTTACTTGGGATGTTGGGAGTTGGGAGGGGTGCTGATAAAAACAAAAACTATTTTACAGGCAAATAATTTTAGGTACTAATACTCATGAGGTTGTGGGGATTTTTGTTTTCCAATGTGTATTAACAAATTAGGGACTCTGAAGTCCTTTCATTAAAAGAATTTTTTAGTTCTGTTTGCCTGTTTTCCAAACTTGGAACTGGTGCACTTCTAAAGAGCAAACACATTCTTTGATGTCATTTAATCTGCAGTATAAAACATAACATTTTGTGTTCACCTTTAGTGTGATGGGAAGATTCTGAGTTTTGAGATGCTACAACACTTCTTAGTATATCAGGAAACCTCAAAATATGCAATGAGAGAAGACACTGGACCTGATCATCTGGTGCGAGCAGATTAAGGATTAGAATATAGTGGAGCTGTTAAGCTCCCAAAAATCAGGTCACATGATAATCCTATGGAACATAAATTATACTTAAAATTACTTATTCCCTTCCTTGACAACCATGCATAGGTTTATGTAAGAGAAACACTTGGAGTGCCTAGTTACTAGTCTTAGGTGTTCTGTGGCTTACTCCACATAAAGTTCATAGCTGAATTCAGAGAAAGCTGGCAAAATCTTTTTAGACTGAATTACCCATTCCATGAGATCACAAGCTTAGTTTCTTAATAGCCTTTCAGTCAACATTTTATTACATATATATCTGACCTTGTTCTAAGTAGTCCTTCAAGTGATTCTAGTTAGTTTTTGTGTGTGTGTGTGTGTGCTTTTGGGGGGGTAATGGCAGGGGAGCAATGGCTAAATTGTAGCCCAGATTGGCCTGAGATTCATAATCCTTTTGCCTCAGCTTCCTTTTGAGTGCTGGGATTATAGGCATATAAGACCCTGCCTGCTTTATGAATTAGATAACTTTCCTCTGTGCTAGCCTTAGTTAAAAAAATAGCAAAGAAATAATAGTATATTATACAATCATATTTATGTTGCTCTAAGCTGTTTTCTGTTTGGGAGCATACTTGACCATGGATTATAAAGCGCTAAACTGGATATCATAGGGCAAATTTTATTAGGTGATGAAAATTTCAAAATGAGTTTTAAAAATGTTTTCAGATAATGGATCAGTCTTGAATAAATGGTGTAATTAGGTTGTAATTAAACAAGTAGGCAGATACCTGTAGGTCTCTTTCTCATATTTTGAAACTGGAATTTGGAGACTATCTTCAGTGCCATGTTCAGAAACAAACATTTTCTTAATGTTCTTGATGATTTGAAATCTGCACACTAAAATCTGAGAATTCATGCAGCTAGGTGGTAAAGGATCTAGATGATTCTGTGTTGACCTGCCCAGTTGTCATTTCTCTGGTATTTATCTACATGTCTTTATTGGTGGTGGAAATGGGAGGGATGGGTGGGGAGTCTTGTCCTATCATTGTGTCATCCTGATGCTTCCTGAACTTGTGAAGTTTATTTATATAGGAAAACTTCCTACCATACTCAGCATGTTTAAGAGGATTATTTTTGTAAAACTATTAAAGATTTTGCTTTACTCAAAAGTATTTCATATCATTGAATTCAAATTACTTTTAAAACATTGTTTTTTTTAAATGATTGCTACTTGTTATTTCATATATATAACATCAAATTATTGGTATATATGTGAGTTTTTGATGATAAAAAAAAGTCCATTAAAAGTCTTGACATTTTGCTGTTTTCTTGCCCTTGCTGTGAAGTTCTGGTCTCCGCTATAAGTGAGTTATCTATATGAATCTTGTCTTGGCAGCAGTTCCCACAGGTCAGTGAAGACCTTCAGCAACCTTGTGCTTTTCAGGTGTTCTGTCATGTAGTACATACTTCAAAGTTAAACTACTTGGGTTCAGAATTCTTTGCCAAATAATTTAATTACATCCTATTGTTTTACCCTATTTCATTAAATAGAGGTAATAGGAATATTTGGCTTATTAGACTTTCAGTAGTCAAACATAAGAAACTTACTGCATGTAGGGTATGTGTGATCTTGTATACAACCATTCATCTTTTTCAGTTACTATCACTGACCTCAGGGACTTGCCAGCATCTAATGTCATTGTTCTATTGATCATTTCTATGTTTAATAGTGGCTTTGGAGATGGCTTGTGTGACTTGGAATGTGACTTTTTGTCTTTTAGGCATATTATTTTTTAAATGCTTATTAAGCATGAGCTCCTGTAATGCTAGTCTAGGGGCTGAGGCAGGAGACTTGGCACAAATTGAGGCCAGCTTGGGCTAGGGAGAAAGACCTTGACTCGGAAAATAAAACAAAAGGGGGAAAAGGGCATATAAAACCTCAAGTAGAATGTTCTAAATTGGTGTTAATTTTTCAAGCTTTTGTTTTAATCATTTATGTTACCATATTTTTGTATTATGACAAAGCACTTGAAAATGACATGAAGGATTTTTGCTTTTGGGCCCGTGCCTGGTGTACGAGAACACCAGTGCAGAGAGCCTATAGTGGAGTAAAGAGGTTCACCTTCTGACAGAAGAAAGATAGAACAAGGGGTTAGGCACAAGATATAACGTACCCCCTTCTTGACTTATTTCATCCTGACAGAATCTTCTTAATGGCTATTTAGCTATGAACTTAGAGTGGATTAATTCATTGGCTGTACCGTCTTCACGACCTCGACGTTTTCTGTAGCACCACCCAGCAGTTTCAAGTCAACAGTACATGAGCCTTTTGAACTTTTTATATTTGAACTACAATGCTCTCCTTATCTATATTTTTAAAACTGGTTATAGTAGTATTTTTATCTTGCCTTATGTTTTCCTGAAAGTATTGCTTTTTTAGGGCTAGTAACATGCAAACTTAGCATATTGAGGTCCTAGGTTTAAACTCCCAATTCTTGACAAAAAAAAAAAAAAAGTATTATGTAAGTAATTGGCAGTGCCTCTGATCATAATTCTAAACCTTGGTTGAGAAATTTGTGTAAACATTCTGTATCACCTGTAAAGAATAAAATAAATGTAACATTTGTTAATTCATTTTAGGTGTTGAAAGTATATAGCCTATGCTAATCAATATAGTTAGATTCTTTGTAATGTCTGTGTTTTGTTTTCTGGTTGAATTTCTGATATGAAGTTTTGTTTTTGTACTTTTTTTGAAAATGGGTATGAGAATGGAGATAGTATTAGAAACAGTATTTTATTATGGCATAATCAGTTTTTGATACCTTCCATCTTGGTTTTAATGAATTCACTTGAGGAGTAAAGCAGATTTTGAAATAGCAAATGGTTATTTAAAGCCATATTATTGAGTAGTTCTATTTCCTGAGTTTGCAAAGTGCTGCCTGTAGAACAAATGTGATGAGAGCCTGTTTTTGTACAACCAGCAAGCTATGGATGGTTCTGCATTTTTACATTTTAAAAGTTGATAGAACAGAAAGACTCCTATACCCTGAGATTGTGTATGATTTACACTTTCTTATTGTCTGCCCATGTAGCCCAAAAGATATGAATCTCTATACTAATTCATTGATCTCCATCCAATTTGGAATCTGATACCTTTCACTTTTAAAAGCTATTACCTATACATTATTTTTATATTAAATATCTATTAATTGGCGAATGTTCGTGGTTATCTCAAATACTAAGAATTAAGTCATTGTTTAATTTAGGCCTTTTTACATATAGCTATTTGTTGCCACCAATCTTGTTTTGGTGCCCCTGTCAGCTATAGTCATGCTCTTCTCTGTCAGAAAGTCTTCTGTCAGATGTATTCTAATCTGTTTCTTCAGCTATCAGAAACTTAATATTTCTCCTATTCTTTGATTGGATTTTGGGTGTCCCAACATATTTTGCTCCTCAAATTAATATTTTTCAGATCCTCAAAAGAAAGATTCAGAGACCAAGACTTAGCATCACGTGACAGAGACAGATCACCTCGTGACCGAGATCGAAAAGATAAGAAGCGGTCCTATGAGAGTGCTAATGGCAGATCAGAAGACAGGAGGAGCTCTGAAGAGCGGGAAGCAGGGGAGATCTAATTAGCCGTGTATATATCTTCAATCCTTAAGCTTCCTATGGAGTTAACATGCTATTATTTAGTTCACAGCCATTCGGGGTGACAGTTCTAGATACTGATCCAGGCTAGATATGAACCTATTTTCCTTGATAAAGCCTAAAACTACATCCATAGTTTCTGGTGAACCTGTAATACCATTCTGAACGTACAGTTTTACATAATAAGACGCTGATCTCTATTCTTTCAAGTAGGAGTGATAGTGTATGAATTGTGTTAATGCCTTGCAATTTTTGAACATTTGTAAAATTCTGTCTTCCTTTCTATTCCAAACAGCAGCAGCTTTGGGAATTTTTCTTTATAATTCTTCTTCCTTTGACTTTTGTATCTCCTAATACCTATGCCTCCAACTGTAAGAGAAAAGGGGGCAGGGAAGCAATATAACTTCTGTTCTAAGGTTCTGTTCACCTCAATTACTAGCTGATTATAGTTGAGCATTTCTACCGGATTGTGTGCTGGTGAAACTTAACACAGGGCTGTCTTGTTTGGGGCCCTATTAGAGTTGGAAGTTGAACAGCTGTTGCGTTACTTTTGCTTTTTTTATTGAAAGTTTGAAACCAGACTTGTCTTTATTTTTATTTTTTATTTTTTGTTCTATTAAAACTGCTATGTTCAGTACATTGAGGGGGGATGGGGCAGGGACTGTTTCATAATAAGCACTTGTTTTATTGTGTGTGTGTGTGAATGTGTGGAGTATAAAGGCTATACTCTTAATTGTAAAAATAAAAGGAAAAGAAACAATCATCATCACTACCATCATCACTCTGTAACCTGTTTAGTAAGTTGTCACTAGAACTCTTTGCTGTGCTATTTTTCTCTGTTCTGTAACATCCTTAACAGTGCCTTACTGTACAAGGCACCAAAGGTAGTAAATATGTAATTGTGGATTTCAGATGAACTGTTGCTCCACCCAAATCTCTTGCTGACTATACTCCACTACTTCAGAGCTGTATTTAACAGCTTCTATAAGGAAATATTGGACCTGTAGAAGCAACTAAGAGTCTCTTGTTTGTATTCCTTAATTGACAAGCCTGAATAAAATCAATATGTAACCAAAATAATGAAACCAACAGTTTCTGCATTAAAGTGCTAATTACTTACTAATGACTACCTAGTAGTTAACAAATAACTTTTGTCCTTTTAGAAACAATATATTAACTAGTAAAATTAGTATATATAAGATAATTTTTGGGAGGAGTTAGGTCTCATGTAATCCAAACTGACCTAGAATTCACTCTGTAGCGGAGACTGACCATGAATTTCTGACCATTGTGCCTTTGCCTCAGTGCCAAGAGGCACTGCCTGGTCTTTGGGGGGGGGGGGCACAAATTAGTGGCCTGCTGTAGTCTCCTTTGAGACAGGATCTTATTGACCTGGAGTTCACAAATTAGGTTAGATGTCTGGACAGAGCCCTATGGAGGACACACGGGAATGGGAATTGCAAGTGGGTACTACCACACCTGGCTTTTTGCTGGGGGTCAAACTTAGGTTCTCACGCTTACAAAAAGTGCCTTAACAGATCCAGGTTCCTTGCTCCTTCTTTTGGGGCCAGGCTGACCTCCAGTTCACTGTGTCGTCAAAGATGACCTTGAACTCCTGGTTCTCTCACCTCTACTATTCAATTTAAGGATTATAACCATGTACCACCATACCTGGTGAAAATACTTTAGGATACCAGTAAGACAATCTCAAGTCCCTTTTTAATATTTTTTCTTTCGCCTGTTGTTTGAGACAATAGTTGATCTTTGGGTGTTAAAACAGGTGATGAGGGCTTAGAGAACAGCATTCTGTTTGTAGAGATAGGGGGTCTATCAATGAGCATTGCCAGGGCCAGAAGATATTCCTGAGCTTTGCGAGGCCTGCATGACAACCATTTCTGAGGATCAGCCTAATTTCCCTAGCTAGCCTAGTAGGTGTTAGGTTGAAAGCCAGACATTGATCAGACCTGGATCAGTTGACTTTCTAGGCATAGTGTGCCTAAGCTGGGAATGACAATAAAGGAGCCTCAGGAGTGCCTGGGACAAAATGAAAATGAAAAAAAAGCTGTATGTGGTACTGCCCTGTTTCTAAAACCCCTTTGTTACAGTCTTGCTTTACTTCAACTTTTTCTTTTGAACCTAGAATAACATGAAAATAATCAGCAAAATTGGGATGTGAGTTATGTTAGGTCTCAGAATGTTCCCCCAGAAAGTGTGGTAGAAATTACTTGACAGCTCGAGTGGAGCTCAGTGATTGAGCACTTGTCTGTATGATGTCCCAGAATTCGTTCCAGCATTGCAAAAACAAATCCGTGATATCAATAGGAATTGCCCAATATCTCAGAGTAGTCTGTCAAAAGTGTCTGCTGACGAGCACCCCACTCCCAAATTCCAGCCATGTTGAGAAGTTGAGGTGGGAGAATTTCAAGGTGAATACCAACTAGCCTGGGCAACTTTTGAACGTTAGGCAAGGTTTGTTTGTAAAAATGTGATCTCTGAATAGTCAGTATCGAAATCATATAAGGACCCGGTTTCAAAAACAGGCCCAAGTTCTAATTTGTAGGAAATAAGATAAATTCAGAATGTATGTCATTTTACAAAACAACTGGTCCAATTTCTTCAAAAGGTCAAAGTTTTAGGTTAAAGGAGACTATATAAATAGCCAGTTGGGGCTGGAGAGATGGTTTAGTAGTTTGGAACATTGATGAGGACCCAGGTTCAATTCCCAGCACTCACACGGCCACTCAAAATTAACTGTAGGGGCTGGAGAGATGGCTCAGAGGTTAAGAACACTGCCTGCTCTTCCAAAGGTCCTGAGTTCAATTCCCAGCAACCACATGGTGGCTCACAACCATCTCTAATGGGGTCTGGTACCCTCTTCTGGCCTGCAGGCATACACACAGAATATTGTATACATAATAAATAATAAATAAAAATTAACTGTAGCAGTTCCAGGGGATCTGATACCCTCAGACAGACATGCAGACAGAACACTTGTGCACAAAAATAAAAAAAATTAAAAAAACAAACTAGCCAGTAAACTTGTTTGTGGTCTAAATTAGTTGGGCATGGTGGTTTATACCTGTAATCCAGACACATGGGAGGCAGGAGAATTGCAATGATTTTGAGGCCAAACTGGGCTACCATAGAACCTGCTCCAATGTAAGGGGAAAAGTAGAGAAACAGGGAGATTGTATGGACTGAAAAGAACTTTTTAATTTGTTAGGTGATAAACTTGCATTATATAAAAACAGTTATTTGATGTCTGAAATATCACATGAAACATGGCCCAGTTGTATCCTCATATACATAAAAGTGAATGTGTAAAATGTTAAGTATTAGCTTTATGAGGGTTTATTTTCAGTTTTTCAACTTGTGCGTTTTGAGAATTTTTATAAAGTTGAGGAACACTTGGATTTTCATCTAAATTGCCATTTTTAAAATGTTCTGGGGTGGTGGTGGCGCACGCCTTTAATCCCAGCACTTGGGAGGCAGAGGCAGGCGGATCTTTGTGAGTTCAAAGCCAGCCTGGTCTACAAGAGTTAGTTCCAGGACAGGCTCCAAAGCTACAGAGAAACCCTGTCTCGAAAATCAAAAGTTCTGTCCTGGGCTGGGAAAATGGCTGTCAGCACATGCCTACAATGTAAGCCTCAGGACCTGAGGTGGATCCCTAAATGCCAGGCATGGTGGTATGGACTTATGATCCTGACTGTGAGGATCACAGGTGGGCTCCTGGGGCTCACTGACAAACCAGACTAACGAACTGGTGAGCTGTAGGCTAGTACAGACCCTGCCTCAAAAAGACAAGATGGGCTGGCTCTGAGGTTGGCCTCTGGCCTCCACCCAGTGCCACCTGTACACATGTATGAACACAATACAAGTAAAATGCTCTAACCTGGCAAATACATGGATTTTTTTAGACCTATTAATGTATGTTGTATGTCAGAAGAGGGCACCAAATATCATTATAGATGGTTGTGAGCCACCATGTGGTATCTGTGAATTGAACTCGGGACCTCTGGAAGAGTAGTCAGTGCTCCAGCCCCCACATATGGGTATTTTAAGCAAGATTTCTCAATATTTGATCTTTGAACATAATGAGAATCACACAAAGGAAATGATGACCAAGTGTATACACACACAAAAAGTGCCTGAGGCCATCAGTCGAATGCCCCACAGGAAGTGGATAGCAGTATTGAGTGCCAGTGGAGACAAGCAGCAGCCGGAACTACCAGCAGGACTGAAGATGGTACCACTGCTCCAGCAAAGGAGGCTCGGCAGCTTCTTGTAAACTAGGCACGTCCTTAGCACAATTCATTAGCAATCTTTGTACCCAGGGAAACGAAAACATGGGTCCACACAGGTTTGTATTTTAATGCTTGTAGCAGTTATGTTGATAGTAGCTCCAAACAAACTACAAATACTTGAAATGTCCATCGATTAGAAATCTGACAAGTGATTCATCCACACAAGGGAAATGATTGTTAATATAAGTAGAAACAAGTAAGTTGAAAACGTACCCAGCAGAAGGAGGCAGATCCAGAAGAGGGCAGTACAGAGTTGTCTTCATGTGAACTAGAACAGACAGAAGTAGCCTTTACACTTTGCCTCATAACTGGGCATTAGAAGATATCTGTACCTCGAGTGGCAGTGCTCATGGGCTGCCTACATTGTCAGAAGGTACTCCGTGTGCTGGGCAGCCTGACTGGCCTATATGACATCTTGTCAAAAATGGCTCCTGAAATACTCTGTTTTGTGGAAGTCAAATCTCAGTTACTGATTTAAAACAGGCCTAAATTTTAAAACTCCTTGGAAAAATTTTTGCGATGTTTTGGTCATGTTTTCCCTTCTCCCATCAAATTATTACATTTATTGACTATGCATGCTTGTCTCACAGGGTACATGTGTAGGTCAACCTGAGGGAGTTGATCCTTTTACTGTGTGAGGGATCAAACAGGTCCTCAGGCTAGTGACAATATCCACCAAGTTACACAGAGAAACCCTGTGTTAAAAAAAAAAAAAAAAAAAAAAAGGCTGGGCAGTGGTGGCAGGCGCCTTTAAGCCCAGCACTGGGGAGGCAGAGGCAGGTGGATCTCTGTGAGTTCAAGGCCAGTCTGGTCTACAAGAGCTAGTGCCAGGACAGGCTCCAAAAGCAACAAAGAGACACACTGTGTCTCAAAAGAGAGAGAGAGAGAGAGAGAGAGAGAGAGAGAGAGAGAGAGAGAGAGAGAGAGAGAAGTCCTAAGAAGCCTGGTAGAGTGGCACACAACTTAGTGGTACAGTGCTTGCCATACAAATGTGAAGATCTGAGTTTAAATCCTAGAACTTACATAAAACCTGGTGTGGTGGCACCTACCGTGAGATAGGAGCCACAGCCAGCTAACTTGTGTGCAGCAGTGAACAATGAATCTCTGAATCAAACAAGGAGGGAGGCGAAGATTGTCTTCTTCCACATGCACACTGTCACACCCCACCTACATTTGTGTGTACAAACATACATGCTTGCTCACACATACAAAAATTATACTTTTTTTTAAAAAAAAAAAAAGAGATGTGGCCAGATGTAGCACCTTCAATCCCAACACTCAGGAGGCAGAGGCAGCTGGATCTCCGTGAGTTCGAGGCCAGCCTGGTCTATGTCGTGATTATCAGGACAGCCAGGAATACATCCATCTCCAGGGTCAGTACTCATAACCTCCCCTCTGCTGCCCTGTAAATCCTTTCTCTTCCCTCTTCGACTCTCAGCCTTAGAATAGGGGAGTAGCACATGCTTGGAAGATTCTCACTGTCCGCTGTACTGTTTGCTTACTGTCCTGTTCAGGAAACTCACCCTTCCTCCCACTGTACTCGCACTGAAGTGCGGTGTCCAAATTCCCATTTTGATTGCAGTGTAACTGACTTCAGCAGTCCAGAGTGGCGCTTGCACCTGCCTGAGATGGTCACCTTTCTGTGACTAGAAGCTTTCATCTTGGATTGTCTATCTTTTGACTTGAGGACAGGTTAGTGAAGCACATTTGGTGACTGTGTTACTCTACTGAGGAAGTGGCCCAAAAGGAGGAAGGTGGACACATGGAGAGAAGCCCCTTCAGTTCCCCCTTTCTGCTTGGGCTACTTAGAATCGTTTTTTCTC